TTTGTACATTGAACACCTGGGAACAGGACAGCGTGGCTGTGGTAACAGCTCATGCCACATCCCCAGACTTCCTCCTGTGGCCTTCTTGTCTCCCCACATAGTTTGCCCTAGGCTTTTGGAGGATGCAGCTCTTCCTAGGGCTTCCACCACTTCTCAGACTGGATGTGGTTTCTGAGTTGCTCTGATCCCCAAGATGGCTCCCACTGCTGACTGTTCTTCCCAGGAGTATGAAATGCTGAAAGCTTTGGGCATCTCCTTTTAAAATGCCTGGGCCCAGCCAGGCAGAGTAGCTCACGCCTGTAATCCCAGCACTTTCGGAGGCCAAGCAGGAGGATCGCTTGAGCTCAAGAGTTCAAGACCAGCCTGGGCAATATAGTGAGCCCCCATCCTGATTGGATGGGTGGATGGATAGATAGATGGACGGATGGATGGATGGATGGATGGATGGATAGATAGATAGATAGATAGATAGATAGATAGATAGACGGATGGATAGATAGATAGGTGGATGGATGGATGGGTAGATGGATGGATGGATGGATGGATAGATAGGGTAGATAGGATAGATTAGATAGTCGATAGATGATAGATAAATAGGAAATAGATAAGATAATAGATATAGGATAGATTAGATAGGATACATTAGAGATAGATAGATCAGATTAGACAGATGGATACCAGTGCCCAATGAGAGGAGGATCCAACTAGAATCTTTTGGGATCTTTGCCTTTTATTCCTTATGTGAGGAGGTCATGATCAGCAGTTCTTCAGTCTCATCCCTAGCAAACTGCTTTGTAGAAATTCTAAATCAATGATTTGGCACCTTCATACATATGAGGAAACAGAAGCTTCTCAAAGAGAAATGTCACTTGCTGACCCTGACCAAGTCTTCTCTAGAATGTTTTATTTATAATTTCAGTTAGGAAAGAAAAGCAGCCAGATCTGAGCCCCATGAGATGAGCCCTCGTGTTTTTATTCCTGAGATAATCTGGTTGGCAGGGAATGTTGATAGCATTTGTTGGCTGTTTGTACCGCCCTCAATAAGTCAAGCTTAACTGAGAAACCATTGTTTCAGCATGCAGAACCCCCTTTTTTAAAAACTGCAATAAAATTCACTTACAGAAATTAACCATTTTAAGCTGGGCACAGTGGCTCATGCCTGTAATCCCAGCACTTTGGGAGGCTGAGGCAGGTGAATCACTTGAGACCAGGAGTTTGAGACCAGCCTGACCAGCATGGTGAAATCCCATCTCTGCTAAAAATACAAAAATTAGCCAGGTATGGTGATAGACACCTGTAGTCCCAGCTACTTGGGAGGCTGAGGCAGGAGAATCGCTTGAACCCAGGAGGTAGAGGTTGGGGTGAGCCAAGATAGCGCCACTGTACTGTAGCCTGGGCAACAGAGCAAGGCTTCTCTCAAATAAATAAATAAAAAGAAAGAAATCAACCATTTTAAAATGAAAAACTCAGCAGCATTTAGTGCATTCACAGTGTTGTACAAGCCTCACCTCTGTCTACTGCAAAACATTTCCGTCACCCCAAAGAGAAGCCTCGTACATTACGCAGTGCTCCCCCCTCCCCGTGTTCCGCACATCCCTCACTCCCTGGCTTTCTGTCTCTGTGGACTTGACTGTTCTGGAAATTTCACATCAATGTAATCGTGTCCTGTGTGGCCTTTGTGTCTGGCTTCTTTCATTTGGCTCTTGTGAAAAGTGCTGCTGTGAATATTTATGTACAAGGATTTGTTTGAGTTGCCATTTTCCATTAGATTATAAACTTTCCTGGAAGAGAGCGGGAGGCCGGGCGGTCAGTTTGTGAGTTGGCCTCTTAAGTCAAAGTCTGCCTTTCTCGGTTCTCCTTGAGTCCTCTGAGCATGACTTGCCCACATTCTCTCCCCTCTGCAGGAGGAAAACTCCCTCTTCATCATGACCAACATGATCCTCACCATAAACCAGACCCAGGGCCTATGTCCCGAGGTAGGTGGCTCCCCCGGCAGAGCCCCAGGCCCCCACCCCTCTCTCCACACCTGTCTGCAGGTGTGTGGGGCTGGGCCACGTGGACCTTCTTCTCACTCCTTCTTCTTTTTCCAGATTCCAGATGCGACCAGTGTGTGTGAATCAGATGCCAGCTGTACTGCTGGCTCTGCCGGCACCCACAGCAACGGTAAGAGCTCACGGCCTCCTGGGGAAGGCAGTCCCTGATCAGATCGCCACCACTGTGAAGCCTCTTTGATAGGGAAATCCGAGGAATAAAGAAATCCCCTCAATTCCTTCACATGACCCTGGGTGAGCCAGGTGTCGAGGTTGGGGCCCTAGAACCCTCTCTACATTCATGCCTATCATCCCAGCTTTTGCCCTGTTCTTTTTTTTTTTTTTTTTTTGAGCCAGAATCTTGCTCTGTTGCCCAGGCTGGAGTGCAGTGGTGCAATGTCAGCTCACTGCACCTCCCGAGTTCAAGCAGTTCTCCTGCCTCAGCCCTCGAGTAGCTGGGACTGCAGGCACGCGCCACCATGCCCAGCAATTTTTCCTTTTTTGTTAGAGATGTGGTTTCACTGTGTTGGCCAGGCTGGTCTCTAACTCCTGACCTCAGGTGATCCGCCCACCTCAGCCTCCCAAAGTGCGGGGATTACAGGAGTCAGCCACCACGCCCAGCCTCTTGCCCCATTCTTTAGGTTGGTATCACCCTGGCTGAAATGTGGCCGGCACCCAAGTCACTGTCTTCCTCTGATTCTAACTCTTGGACACTGACACTGTCTAAATCCCAGATATGCGGAGCTCAGAATTGGCTATGTGGGAGGCTGGGTGGGGCTGTCACTCTCTACTCCAAAAAGGTAGAAAATGGGAGACCCCTGTGGACCTGGGACCCCCTTGTCTTTGTAGGAGTCTCAACAGGCAGATGCGTGCCTTTCAACGGGTCCGTGAAGACCTGCGAGGTGGCAGCCTGGTGCCCGGTGGAGGATGACACACATGTGCCACAGTGAGTCCAGCCCTAGGGAAGGAAGAAAGTGCCTTTTTTTTTTTTTTTTTGAGACACAGTTTCACTCTGTAGCCCAGGCTCGAGTGCAGTGGTATGATCTTGGCTCAACCTCTGCCTCCCAGGTTCAAGCAATTTTCATACCTCCCAAGTGCTGAGATTACAGGTGCCCACCACCATGCCCGGCTAATTTTTTGTATTTTTAGTAGAGACAGAGTTTCACCACGTTGGCCAGGCTGGTCTCGAATTCCTGACCTCAAGTGATCCACCTGCCTTGGCCTCCCAAAGTGCTGGGATTACAGGCGGAAGCCACTGCGCCCGGCCAGAAGCACCTTAAACTCTAGGTGTCAGCCTTGAGCAGAGGTAATCAAGGGTTACACCTGTGTGTTGTGGCTTTCTGTGTGTTACTGGTGTCTGTGTGGAGTCAGGCTGCCCTAGGATGACTGCTCGCAACCACGAAGCAGTGACCATCAGTGGCGAGGTGGGCCACAAATGTCTGTCACTCACGAGAAGGATCCAGGTAATTTCCTCGTATGTTAGGACTCTGTCAGTTTCAAATAACTGACAGGAAACAGTTCTCAGTACCTTAAGCACATGTGCACAAACACACACACATACACACATGCGTGCTTAGCAGGGGTAGTGTATTGTTCAGCTAACCAAAAAGATCCAGCGTGGCCATAAGCATCTTTTGCCAGGCTGAGGCAGGGGAATCACTTGAACCTGGGAGGTGGACGCTGCATGAACTGAGATGGTGCCACTGCACTCTGGCCTGGATGACAGAGTGAGGGCTAAAGGACAACACCCTGGTCTCCCTGCCTGTCCCACATCCCTCCGTGCCAGCTTCACTCACAGGATCCGCCACATAGCCCAGAGCCCCCAAGGCCGAGTCCCAGCTATCCCTGGAGAGTCTAGACCTGTCCATCGCCACATTATCAGCCAGAGCTCTCAACCCATCTGCATGGCTGGGGCATGGGTTTTGCTTATCAGCTTGGGCCTGGATCTCATGCCCACCTCTGCAGCTGGGGCTAGAGTCAGACCCTCCCAAGTGACACAAGCAAGCATCAGGGAGGTATGGCTTCCAAAGGAAACTTAGGGTTCTGTTATTAGAAGAGCTGGGAGCAGATGCTGGGAAGAAAATAACAGATGTTTCCTACATTATATTTTAAACTAAACTAGACAGGTTCAGCCAGGCACGGTGGCTAACGCTGTAATCCTGGCACTTTGGGAGGCCGAGGCAGGCAAATCACCTGAGGTCAGGAGTTTGAGACCAGCCTGACCAACATGGTGAAAAACCCCGTCCCTACTAAAAATATAAAAAGTAGCCAGACATGGTGGCTGTCACCTGTAGTCCCAGCTACTTGGGAGGCTGAGGCAGGAGAATGGCTTGAACCCGGGAGGTGGAGGTTGCAGTGAGCCGAGATCACACCACTGTACTCCAGCCTGGGCGACAGAGGGAGACTCTGTCTCAAAAAATAAAAATTAAATAAATAAAAATTTAAAAAATCAACTAAACTAGACAGGTTCAAGGTTGCTCCAGACTAACATTCTCCCTGGTTGTAATTGGCTGTGCTTGGCGGGGTGGAGTCCAGGCGGCGCTCTGAGAAGCGCACGCAGCCCAGTGCCTTTCTCACCAAGAGTGCCAACTGAGGCCTCTGTGAGCCCTGGGGAGCAGAAAGCCACTGAACCTTATCCTGGGTGTGTTGAGAAGGAGAGAAAGGCTGAGAACTGCAGATTTACAGATTGCTGAGGCAAAGGAAGGAGGTAGAAAAAAGGAATCCTAGCATCTTAGAGCTGGAGAGGATCTCACCGAGCTGTGCTCTCCATTGCAGGAGCCTCTGGCCCCACGTGGCTGTTGAGCAATTGAAATGTGGCTGGTCTGAAAGGAGATGGGGCATCCATAGGCAGTACACCCATAATCGATTCTGAATTTTTTTTTTTTTTTTTTTTTTGAGACGAAGTCTTGCTCTGTCACCCAGGCTGGAGTGCAGTGGCACAATCTCGGCTCACTACAACCTCCACCTCCCAGGTTCAAGTGATTCTCCTGCCTCAGCCTCCCAAGTAGCTGGGATTATGGATGCCTGACATCATGCCCAGCTAATTTTTGCAGTTCTAGTAGAGACAGCATTTCACTATGTTGGCCAGGCTAGTCTCAAACTCCTGACCTCAGGTGATCCACCCATTTCAGCGAGAGAGCAAGAGAAAAATGGTATCTTGTGAGACACAGCTACAAGCCACACTCCAATTTAGAGTTTTCTAGTAGCCACATTAAGCAAAAGAAACAAGTAACATTTTATACAATAACCTAAAACATTACTTCAACATGTATCCAACATAAATGATCAATGAGATACTATACATTCTTTTTTCATAATAAATATTCAGAATCGGGCTGGGCACAATGGCTCATACCTGTAATCCCAGCACTTGGAGAGGCAGAGACGGTTGGATCACTTGAGGCCAGGAGTTCAAAAACAGCCTGGCCAACATGGTGAAACCCCCTTTCTACTAAAAATATAAAAATCAGACTTGTGGTGTACACCTGTGATTGCAACTACTCAAGAGGCTGAGGCACGATAATCCCTCGAACCTGGGAGACAGAGGTTGAGTGAGCCAAGATCGTGCCACTGCACGCCAGCCTGGATGACAGAGTAAGACTCTGTCTGAAAAACAAAACAAAACCAAAACGTTTTGGAACTAGATAGAGGTGACGATTGCACAAGATTGTGAATGTAGTAAATGCCACAGAATTGTCCAGTTTAAAACAGTTAATTTTATGTTACGTGAATTTCGTCTCAATTTCTCTAAAAAGGTGAGTTGATCTTAAAGTTTTGCATATGAGGCACACAGGTGTGCAGGTGGGTTATGTACAGGAAATGACAGAAATCTGTACACCCCTGTTGTGAGCCATCCCTCTTGAGGGAGCAGGGACTTTGAAGATCTGAGAGAAGGCTGGGCACAGTGGCTCACACCTATAATCCTAACTTTGGGAGGCCGAGGTGGGTGGATCACCTGAGGTCAGGCGTTCAAGACCAGCCTGGCCACCATGGTGAAACCCTGACTTTACTAAAAATACAAAAATTAACCAGACGTGGTGGTACATGCCTGTAACCCCAGCTACCCAGGAGGCTGAAGCAGGAGAATTGCTTATACCTGGAAAGTGGAGGTTTCAGTGAGCCACTATCATGCCATTGCACTCTAGCCTGGGCAACGGGAGTGAGACTCAAAAAAAAAAAAAAATCAGAGAGAAGCCCCCCTTGGTCTCGGCCTTGCTCTGACAGCAGCAGTGACAGGCTCAGCTCTCCTCAGAGTGCAGCTCTGTCCCTGGCCTTGCTCCTGTCTCGGGTCTGGGAAGACTGTCGATACTGTCATTCCAAAGATCCCACCTGGATAAGGGGAGCATCCCCCACAGAAGGGTCACCCCGACAGTGCAGATTCTCCAGGAGAAATTCACCAAAGAAATGGAGGCCCCTCGGGGACAGATTCAACTTGGTATTGTCAGCCCGGAGCTGACGTGGCACTTCTGAGAAGGGGCTGGCGTGCTTTATGCACTTTTCAGACAGGTCAGAATCCCGCCTGTAGGCAAATTTACCGTGGCTTAGACTTGTAAAACCGGACCTGCCAGGCCTTCATTCTTCCCCTGAGAATGCCTGAGGCCCTGAGGCCCGGGAAGACTGATTTCCAGTGAGGCCATGCATCCCCTCCCTGGTTAGCTGGATTGAGTTCTCCCTGCCTTGAGGAGAGGCTCTGCCCTTCTTTGAGAGGAAGAACCTGGAAGGCTTGGCTCAGTCTCTTTTCTTGACGCAGTGTGTATGCAGAAGGGGTAGAAAATGCTAGGGGTGGTGCATCTTTTTGATAAAATGACACTGTAAGATGTGTGTATATGTTTTGGGGCCAGACATGGTGGCTCACTCCTGTAGTCCAGCACAGGGAGGCGGGAGGATCACTTGAGGTCAGGAGTTCCAGACCAGCCTGAGCAATGTAGCAAGACCCCGTCTCTACAAAAAAAAAATTATTTTAATGAGCCAGGCATGGTGATGCCTGCCTGTAGTTCCAGCTACTTGAAAGGCTGAGGTGGGAGAATCCCTTGAGCCTGGGAGGTTGAGGCTACAAGAACCTGTGTTCATGTAACTGTACTCCAGCCTGGGCAACAGAGCAAGAGCCTGTCTCGAAAATATATGTAGGCTGGGCGTGGTGGCTCATGGTGGCTCACACCTGTCATCCCAGCACTTTGGGAGGCCAAGGCGGGCGGATCACTTGAGGCCAGGAGTTGGAGACCAGCCTCACCAACATAGTGAAACCCCATCTCTACTAAAAATACAAAAAATAGTTAACCAGACTTAGTGACACATGCCTGTAGTCCCAGCTACACGGGAGGCTGAGGCAGGAGAATTGCTTGAACCCAGGAGACAGAGGTTGCAGTGAGCCAAGATCACGCCACTGCACTCAAGCCTAGGTGACAGAAATGAGACTCCATCTCAAAAAAAAAAATATATATATATATATACACACACACTCACATTTACACATGTATATATTATGTCTATATCTCATGGCTATGTGAGTATATGTATATATATGTGTGTGTTTCATTAACAGTAATGTTATTGTTTTTCAGACCTGCTTTTTTAAAGGCTACAGAAAACTTCACTCTTTTGGTTAAGAACAACATCTGGTATCCCAAATTTAATTTCAGCAAGTAAGTGGCGGCCAGGTGTGTGAGTTCACCAGTGTCTTACAGAAACTTGCGGCTCCTCTCTCTCCTCTGAGGCATTCATGGCTCTGATTTTCTGCTTCCTCTCCACTTCAGGAGGAATATCCTTCCAAACATCACCACTACCTACCTCAAGTCGTGCACTTATGACGCTAAAACAGATCCCTTCTGCCCCATATTCCGCCTTGGCAAAATAGTGGAGAACGCAGGACACAGCTTCCAGGACATGGCTGTGGAGGTGGGTGCGGGCCCTGGTTCTCCTGACCCAGCCCTGGTCGCGTCTCGTGCCAGGTGCTGAGGAAAGCCTTGCCGTGTCTCTGCTGCTTATCCCCAGGGAGGCATCATGGGCATCCAGGTCAACTGGGACTGCAACCTGGACAGAGCCGCCTCCCTCTGCTTGCCCAGGTACTCCTTTCGCCGCCTGGATACACGGGACGTCGATCACAATGTGTCTCCTGGCTACAATTTCAGGTGGGCCTGAGCTTGGGCCCCTCACTCGTGTTCTGGGGTGCTGGTGGCTGGGTATGCGCCAGTGGGGGCACCCACGCCTGCTGAAGACCAGCACTCAGGCAGCACCCCAAGGACAGGCTGCTGGTCCGCCATCCAAGGCAGCAGGGAGGCCATGCCAGCAAAGTGCCCTCAGTAGTGCCCTGCTCCAGGGCCATCCGGCCCCCAAGAGCCCTCCTTGCCCTTTCCTGCCACAAGAAACATGGTGAGATGATTCTTTGAGCAGTCAGGAGAGGCTAGGGGCTTGAGCCTTCCAGTGCCAGCCTCAGCCATGACCTCCACTCACTGTCTCGAGGAGTGGATGGTCTCGTGATCCTCCAGTCCAAAGGCCTCTGGGGCCTGGCCCAGGATTTGGCTTCTCAAAGGTTGAGCCTGCCCAGAAGCGCCAGAGTGCAGGGGACACAAGTTTGAGGCCCTACAAGGCCTTTGCTGGATTCCCTGCTGCAAATGCTGGCGTCTCAGTGTCCTGGGGTTGCTGAAATCAAGTCGCACAAACAGTGGCATCTCAGTGTCCTGGGGTTGCTGAAATCAAGTAGCACAAACAGTAGCATCTCAGTGTCCTGGGGTTGCTGTAACCGAGTCCCACAAACAGTGGCATCTCAGTGTCCTGGGGTTGCTGAAATCAAGTAGCACAAACAGTGGCATCTCAGTGTCCTGGGGTTGCTGTAACCGAGTCCCACAAACAGTGGCATCTCAGTGTCCTGGGGTTGCTGTAACCGAGTCCCACAAACAGTGGCTTGCAACCACAGGACTTGATTCTCTTGCAGTTCTAGAGGCCGAAACCTAAAATCCAGGCATCAGCAGGGCCGTGCTGGCTCTGAAGGCTCTAGGGAGAGTCCTTCCTTGTCTCTTATGGCTCCTGGGAGCCCAGGGTGTTCCTTGGCTTATAGATGCACCACTCCAGTCTCTGCCTCTGCAGCCATGGGGGCTTCTGCCCTGCGTGTGTCTCTGTGTCTTCTCTTCTTGTAAGGACGTCAGTCATTGGATTTAGTGCCCACTCTATCTAATGTGGCCTCACCTTAACAAATTACATCTTCAGATACCCTATTTCCAAATAAGGTCACACTCCCAGGCTTCGGGTAGATGTGAATTTGAGGGACACACCGTTCAACCTACCACAGCTGATGATCTCATGACAGGGTGTTATTGCCACATCCTCAAGGCAGCAGCAGCGTAGCCAGGTACATTTCCACGTCCTTTGTTGCATTTTTCACACTCCTTAAAAAGAGGCTCTCCAGACCGGGCGCAGTGACTCATGCCTGTAATCCTAGCACTTTGGGAGGCTAAGGCGGGCAGATCACTTGAGGTCAGGAGTTCAAGACCAGCCTGGCCAACATGGCGAAATCCCATCTCTACTAAAAAAAAAAATACAAAACTCAGGTCGGATATGGTAGCTCATGCCTGTAATCCCAGCACTTTGGATGGCCAAGGTGGGTGGATCACCTGAGGTCGGGAGTTCCAGACCAGCCTGGCCAACGTGGAGAAACCCTATCTCTACTAAAAATAAAAAAAATTAGCCGGACATGGTGGTACATGCCTGTAATCCCAGCTACTTGGGAGGTGGAGGCAGGAGAATTGCTTGAGCCCTGGAGGTGGAGGTTGCAATGAGCCTAGATCGCACCACTGCTGCACTCCAGTTTGGGTGACCGAGCAAGTCTCCGTCTCAGAAGAAAGAAAAATAAAAAATGCCCCCACAGGGACCATCCCAGGCATTCCGCCGAGCTTTTGGGCTGCATTTATCTCCCTCTAGTGGTGATGTATGGAATCCAACCTGTACGGGATCCCAAGACCTCTGAAATTGTGGGATCTGCTGTCCTTTTGCACCATCCGGCTCACTGAGTAAGGCAAATGTTTGAATTTTTTTTTCTAGCAGTTAGATTTGTGTTGTTCCATCTCTACTGCCACACACTTCTTGTGGAATCCTCAAACTTGAGTCAGAGCCCTAGAACAGAGAGACCTCAGGACACCTATCCCCCAACCTCGGCCAGCAGCGGGCCCTGCTTGAGCCTCCCCGACCCATGACATGGAAGTTGTGGGCCAGATACAGCATGGACCTAGGGTGCGGGCCTAGGCTCCTGGTGGATACCCGGAGAACATGTGGCAGCAGATGGTATGTCTTGCTGGTCCTCGGCCAACCATCCATCCCAGTGCTCATGCACTCACACACTCTGTGTGTGTGTGTGTGTGTGTGTGTGCACGCGTGCGCGCGTGTATATATATATATATATATTTTTTTTTTTTTTTTTTTTTTTTTACTGTTGTTGTTGTTTTTTAAGGTAGTGTCTTGCTCTGTTGCCCAAGCTGGAGTGCAGTGGCTCGAGTGCCACCACGCCCAGCTAATTTTTTTGTGTTTTTAGTAGAGACAAGGTTTCACCATGTTGGCCAGGATGGTCTTGAACACCTGACCTAGTGATTCGCCCACTCAGCCTCCCAAAGTGCTGGTATTACAGGCACAAGCCATGTAATATTGGAGTTCAGGGGTTCAGGGTGCCCTCAACTCCCCTGAGAGGACGTTTCTCCAGGTTCTTGGTCTCTCCTGCCCTCTCAAGAATGAGAGGGGACCACGGCACAGTGCGCAGTAAATGCCAGACAAAAAGGTGTTTGTAGAAAGTGATTTATTTAGAGCAGAGAGAGAAAAAGGAGAAAGAGAAACAGCTAACTCTCACCCTGAGTGAGAAGGGTTCCCCGAGAGGGAAACCAGAGAAGGAAAGCTCCTCTCACACTGAGTGAGGGAAGCCAGAAAGATGGAATCCAGGAGAGGAAAGCAGCTTCCACCCTGAGTGGAAGGGAATAGAGATGGAGTTTAGGAGGGGAAGACAGGCTTCCACGAGAGAGTGTGGAAGGGGACTCCAGAGGGAAAATCCAGGAGAGAGAAAGATGGCTTCCACGAAGGGAGTGTTCGTGGAAGGGGATCCAAACTGGAGTCCGAAGGGATGTGGAAGAAGGGGACTTTTAACCTGGGAGGAACCCCCACCTTCTCTAAGACCCCAGGCCAATGAAAGGAGTTCCTTAGAACTTCCGCTGGAGTGATTGACTCTTAGTTTCTTCCCGTGCCCCTGAAATTTAAGCATAAACCGTTAAATCTCCCAGATGGAGAGAGATGGAGAGGGGCATGGCGCTGAGAAGTTCTTGCCCTTAAAACTACACCCCCTTGTGGACCCGGAAAGAGAACACCTTCCCTCACCCCCGCGCCCGGCTTTTATTTATTTTTTATTTTTTATTTTATTTTTAAAGGCAGTGTCTTGCTCTGTCACCCAGGCTGGAGTGCAGTGGTGCGATCTCAGCTCACTGCAAGCCCCACCTCCAGGGTTCAAGTAATTCTGCCTGCCTCAGCCTCCTGAGTAGCTGGGGTTACGGGCACATGCCACCATGCCCAGCTAATTTTTTTATTTTTAGTAGAGATGGGGTTTCACTATGTTGGCCAAGGTGATCTCAAACTCCTGACCTCAACTGATCCACCCACCTCGGCCTCCCAGAGTGCTGGAATTACAGGCCAAGTGTGAGCCACTGCGCCCGGCCATGTGTTTTTAACGGTCTTATTGAGATGCAATTCACATGTCAGACCGTTCACCCATTTGAAGTATAGAATTCATAATTTTCACCATATTCACAGATAAGTGCAACCTTCACCACAGTCCATTTTAGAACATTTCCGTCGTCTCAAGAAGAGCCCCTGCACCCTCTGTCATCCCCTGGCCCCCGGCAACAGCAGTCTACTTCCTGTCCCTGTGGATGTGCCTCTTCTGGGCATTTCATATAAAGAGAATCATGCCCTGCGTGTCCTTCTGTGCCTGGCTCCTTCCCCTCAGCTGGATGCTTTCCAGGTTCATCCCTGTTGTGGCCTGTGTCAGTATCTCAGCTCTTTATGGGCAAATCATATTCTGTGGTGTGGCCGGATGACATTTGTTCATCTCTTCGTCTGTTTGACGGATCAGGTTCTCTCTGTTGTTCTGGAAGACTGCGTGCACAGACCCAGTGTTTCTCGATTCTGCACTGGTGCTGTGTTCGGGGGCTGGCCCAGTCCCTCCTGCAGTGCTGCTGCCACATTCTTACTGCTAGATGTTAGACACCAGGGTCCCTTGAGGGAGGCAGGTGGGATGTTGAGAACAAACGGTTCGGGTGCAGTAGGGGCTGGTGGTGCTGGAGGAGGAGGCCTCCCTGTGCCCCTGCACCCCGTGGGCCCCACATCCTCCTGCACAGCCCACCTGACAGAGGCCCTGAGCCGCTGCAGCATCTGTTCAGCCAGCAGAGTGGACAGTCCACCCACGCTGGTTCTGCTCTAACGTCCTCTCCCGTCCTGCTCTAGACTTCCCGCCCTGGCCGTCTCCCTGCCCCAGCCATCCCTGACAATCCATCCTCCTTCCTCTCAGGTTTGCCAAGTACTACAAAGACCTGGCTGGCAATGAGCAGCGCACACTCATCAAGGCCTACGGCATCCGCTTCGACATCATCGTGTTTGGGAAGGTAGCTTGTGCCACTGGCTCCCCTCCGTCACTGCCCCAAGGGACAAGGGGCCTCTCCCTGCCCCCGTGGGAACACATTTGTTCTTTTTCTCTGTCTCTGCAGGCAGGGAAATTTGACGTCATCCCCACCATGATCAACATTGGCTCTGGCCTGGCGCTGCTGGGCATGGTGAGTGGTTTAGCCCCTGCCTTCGCCCTCACGGCGAGGTAAGACCCTGGGCTTGGTCCTGGCCCTGGGACCGGGACTTCAGACGTGTTTCTAGACTTCTTTCCTTCTGCCCCCAGCCCTCCTCTGCCTTCCCTTGGCCAAGACCACGCCCTTCAGGTCCCAGCCTTCTCCTGAGAGACGGGGGTGCCTTTCCATTCCAGTAAAGATTCCAGGCCCCGTGGGAAGGGGCACGCGCAAAATGAAAGGGGCTGCAAGCCTCCCGCTTACTCACCCTGTGCTCAATTCAGGCAACCGTGCTGTGTGACATCATAGTCCTCTACTGCATGAAGAAAAGATTGTACTATCGGGAGAAGAAATATAAGTATGTGGAAGATTACGAGCAGGTAGGCCCCTCCTGGCCCCCGCCGGCGGAGGTCTCTTGTCTCCAGGGTGCAGAAGCCATGGGCATGGGACCGTCTAGGGAGGCCCTTCTGCAGAGGCTGACGTGGGTTTGGCACAGTGTCACCCTGTTAGCCCAGGCAGCCCCACTCTCAGCAGCTGCTCCATCCCTAGGCCCCTGTACTGGATTGACTCTCAACCCAGCCTCGTTTCAACCAGCAACATCTCAAGTTGGTTCTGATAATGGTTGCCCTGAGAAAGCCTGGTGCACACATACTTAAATTCACTTTGCTTAACAGGAAGGGCGGGTTCCAGGCCTTGGACCAACTTGAGAACCCCTGGGGGTGAAGTCCCAGGAGTGCCCCTTACTCCCACCTGCCACAAGGGATCCCGGGGAACGGGGTGTGCCGGGTGCATCTTGATCCACTCGTGTCCTTCTTGGCAGGGCCTCGCTAGTGAGTTGGACCAGTGATGCCTACCCCATCACAGAACAGAGAGGAGGAGGGAGAACTGGCTGCCACATCACCCCAGAGAAAGTTCTGGAATCTGATTGAGTCTGCGCTCCACAAGTACTCAGGGTTGCCCACAGCTCCTGTGTGTCGCGTGCAGGATCTGTTTGCCCACACAGCCCAGTAGCTCCCGGGTCTGTTCTTGGCTGGGTCAACTGTGTGGTTCCTGCAGCCTGGGGTTATGAGTGGCACTGCGGCTTTCCGGGCAGGAGCTGGCTTTGCTCAGAAGCCTCCTGTCTCCAGCTCCCTGCAGAACAGGCCCAGTCCCCCGAGGCACCGCAGCTCTGTTCAAGCACTTTATGCAGCAGGGGAGGCCACCTAGTTGCTGTCACTAGACCTGCAGCAGGTCTGGGCTACAAGGCTGCCCCTGACATTCCCTGCAGTCAGGAGACAGAGCGGGCATTACTCCTCAGAAAGCGCTGTGCAGAGGTGGTGGAGGACCAGACATTAAAACGTGATTTTCTTAATCCCTGTCTGTTGTCTTGTAGCATGTGCTAGAACTTTCCTTCCTACCCTTTTACAACCACCAGTAAATCCAGTTGTCCAGCCCACTGTGCTCAGAAAAGGTCCATGGAACAGTCTGTTTCTGGAGCTTGTGCACATTTTCCCCTACTTCTTTCTTTATTTTTGAGGCAGAGTCTCGCTTTGTCACCCAGGCTGGAGTGCAGTGGCATGATCTCTACACTGTAACCTCTGCCTCCTGGGTTTAAGCGATTCTCCTGCATCAGCCTCCCAAGTAGCTAGGACTACAGGTGTGCCACCACACCCAGCTAATTTTTGTGTTTTTAGTGGAGACAGGGTTTCACCATGTTGGCCAGGATGGTCTCAAACTCCTGACCTCAAATGATCCTCCCGCCTCAGCCTCCCAAAGTGCTGGGAGTACAGGCGTGAGCCACCATGCCCTGCCTATTTACTTATTTTTATTCCCAGCCTGGAGTGCAGTGGCGTGATCACGGCTCACTGCAGCCTCCACCTCCTGGGCGCAAGCAGTCCTCTTGCCTCAGCCTCCCACAGTGCTGGGATTACAGGCATAAGCCACTGCGCCCGACTGCCTACTTTTTAAAGCCTAGTCATTTCTGTCATTAGCTTGTCTTCTTACACAGTTCACATGATGCTTTTTCTCTAGTGACATCTTACCTGTGCTTCAATTTTGACATAAAATTACAGTTCTGTGCTACAGGTAATGCAATTTTTGGTAGCATGGAAGTGGCTTCCTCTCCCCTCCGTTTGCTTCCCAAAAGTTTCCAATTAAAAGCAGCAGCACGCACACCTAGCTCTGTATAGGTTTGAAACGTTCACGAAGCTGTTTCCAGCTGCAGCTTCACACCAACTGAATTGGTGCTGTCTTGGTTTATTGCTGTTGTTTGTTTGAGACAGAGTCTTGCTCTGTCACCCAGGCTGGAGTGCAGTGGCGCGATCGTGGTTCACTGCAACCTCCACCTCTGGGGTTTGAGCAATTCTCCTGCCTCAGCCTCTCAAGTAGCTGGGATTACAGGCACACACCACCATGCCCAGCTAATTTTTTATTTTTAGTAGAGATGGGGTTTCACCATGTTGGCCAGGCTGGTCTCAAATCCCTGACCTTGTGATCCTCCCACCTCAGTCTCCTAAAGTACTAGGCTTACAGGCGTGCCACACATCAGCTGAATTCTGCATCAGGTATTTAGAATCCCCCTAGAGGAAGCAGTTTGCCCTTCGCCTCTGTCATGAATTCACTTCCAAGTACCGAGGGGAACTCTTATTTTAGAAATACTCTGCTTCTGCTGGATATATTACTGAGCTGGGCTTTTCTTGCTTTTAGGGAAAAAAAGTGTTTACCACCTCCCTTTATTGAAGCTGTGGTTCATGCTGCCTTTTAAAAAAAATGTTTGTTGCCAGTAATCCCAGCACTCTGGGAAGCCAAGGTGAATCACTTAAGCATAGGCATTCAAGACATTCAAGACCAGCCCGATCAACATGGTGAGACCGTATCTCTACAAAAAATTACATTAGCCGAGTGTGGTGGTGTACCTCTGTAGTTCCAGCTACTTGGGTGGCTGAAGCTGGAGGATCACTTGAGCCCAGGAGGTTGAGGCTGTAGTGAGCTACGATGGTGCCACTGCACTCCAGCCTGGGCAACACAGTGAGACCCTGTCTGAAAAACTAAAAATAAAAAGTCCTTGCTTGGGCTCAAGGATCAAATGAAGCTGAAATGTTTGTAAGTGGTGCTAGGGTCTGAACATGTCTGCTGAAACTCACGTTGGGAACTTAATACCCAATGCAACAGTATTGGGAGGTGAAGCCTTGGGGTGGTGACTGAGTCAGGACTGTGCTGCCCTCGTGAAGGGGGCCAGTACCCTATAGGAGGGATGTAGAGGAAGTTCATCCACTCTTTGCCCTGCCACCCTCTGCCATGCAAGGACAAATGTTCCTCCCTCCAAAGGATGCAGCATCAAGGCACCCTCTTGGAAGCAGAGAGCAGCCCTCACCAGATACCAAACCAGCCGGCACCTTCATCTTGAACTTCCTGCCCTCAAGTGTGAGAAATCAATTTTTGTTCTTTACAAATTACCCAGTCTTAGGTCCTCTGTCACAGCAGCATAAACAGACTTAAGGCAATGGGTGTGTATGTGATCTTGCTGGTTAAGGAGTGATCGTCACTGGCTATCTTCTGAGGTGGGAGAGACGTTGCTTAGCCTCCTCTTTTATAAAATAGAAATGTGAAAGCAAGCCAGTGTTGGGGTGAGGGATGGCTGTAGGGGTCACTGCTCATCTACTCACCAGTTACCTCACGTTCAGCTGTCCCACCCCCTCTCATTGGGGCCCCCTGGTGGCCGCCTCCTAAGTAGCCGACCTTCAGCCTCATATCCGGGGATGGGCTCCCGGAGTCCAGAAATGCCTAAAGCGCTGTTGCGCAGTGATGCACCTGCGCACACTTCCTGTCCCTTTTGTCAGATTCATGAGAGCTTTAACAGGAACTTCCTGCTCCTGGCCCTTAAAGGCCAGGATTCCAATGTCGTGTTTTTGCAGCAATGGACAGGAATCTCAGACTTCATCTGATGGCCTTTGATAATGGAAAAATGAGGTTCAAAGCCAGGAAAGCAATGCAGAGAGCCCTCGAACCTCAGACCTGGAGAAGCAACCATTCTAAAAACAGCTTCTAGATGTGGTGAACACCAGCAGGGGATGGGCATGGGGATGCATGCCTGTAATCCCAGCACTTTGGGAGGCCGAAGCAGGAGGATTACTTGGGCCGAGGGTGGGACCAGCCTGGGCAACATATGAGACCTCATCCCTACAGATAATTTAAAAATTAGCCAAGTGTGGTGGTGCACACCTGTAGGCCCAGCTACTTGGGAGGCTCAGGTGGGAGGACTGCTTGAGCCCAGAAGTTTGGCCAATGTAGTGAGGCCAAAAAATTTAAAAATTAGCCGGGCGCAGTGGTTCACCCCTATAATCCCAGCACTTTGGGTGACAGAGGCAGCTGGATCACAAGGTCAGGAGATCAAGACCATCCCAGCTAACATGGTGAAACCCCGACTCTACTAAAAATACAAAAAATTAGCTGGGTGCGGTGGCATATGCCTGTAATCCCAGCTACTCAGGAGGCTGGAGCAGAGAATTGCTTGAACCCAGAGGCACAGGTTGCAGTGAGCCAAGATAGCACCACTGCACTCCAGCCTGGGTGACAGAGCAAGACTCTGTCTAAAAAAACCAATTAAAAAACTATCTGGGTGTGGCAGTAGGCCCCTGTGGTCCCAGCTACTTTGGAGGCTAAAATGGATGGATCACTTAAGCCTGAGAGGTGGAGGCTGGAGTGAGCCAAGACTGCCACTGCACTCCAGCCTGGTAACAGAACTAGACCCTGTCTCAAAAAAGAAAAAGAAAAAGAAAAGCCAGAAGGGTTTTGCTGGCAAATTCTAACCATTGGACGACTGACTTTGTGGAGCCTCACCTCACAGATGATCCATAAACGTGGCTAATGCCCACCTCATGGGGCAAAGCACCATGTGGCATGGCAGGCCATAGCTCAGTGTGACTGAGACTGCTCAGGGCTACGCACCTATCTGGCCTCCACCAGAATCTTGCAATTACCTGCCTGCAAGAGCAGTGCTGCTTAAACTTCAGCATGCAGATGATTCCCCTGGGGAGCAGGTTTAAGCCATGCCTGGGCATCTGCATTTCTTTAATCTTTGGGACAGGGTCTTTCTCTGTTGCCCAGGCTGATGTGCAGTGGCATGATCACGGCTCACTGCAGCCTTGACCTCCAGGGCTCACACAATCCTCCCACCTCAGCCTCCGGAGTAGCTGGGACCACAGTCAAGCGTCATCACACTCGATTACATTTTTTTTTGAGATGGAGTCTCGCTCTGTAGCCCAGGCTGGAGTGCAGTGGCGCGATCTCAGCTCACTGCAACCTCCGCCTACCCGGTCCAATTCAAGCAATTCCCCTACCTCAGCCCCCCAAGTAGCTGGGATTACAGGCACGAGCCACCATGCCTAGCTAATTTTTGTATTTTTTAGTAGAGATGGGGTTTCACCATGTTGGTCAGTCTGGTCTTGAACTCCTGACCTCATGATCAGCCCACCTTGGCCTCCCAGAGTGCTGGGATTGCAGGCATGAGCTCCCGTCACGGCTGCTTCCTGCACTTCTTTTTTATATTTATTTTTTTGAGTTGGAGTTTTGCTTTTGTTGCCCAGGCTGGAGTGCAGTGGCGTGATCTCAGCTCACCATAACCTCCGCCTCCCGGGTTCAAGCAATTCTCCTGCCTCAGCCTCCCGAATAGCTGGGATTACAGGCATGTGCCACCATGCCCAGCTAATTTTTTGTATTTTTAGTAGAGACAGGGTTTCTCCATGTTGGTCAGGCTGGTCTCAAACTCCCGACCTCAGGTGATCCGCCTGCCTTGGCCTCCCAAAGTGTGGGGATTACAGGCGTGAGCCACTGCACCCAGCTGGCAGCTGCATTTCTAGCCCGTACACTGAGTAGTGAGGTCCTCAGACATGCTATCAATTCAAGATTTGCTGAATACAGTAGCTTCGACTTGGGCATCTGACCTTGCTGTCAGTCTGAGGAAGGAATACACACATCAGGGCAGACGGCCTGAATACACAACCACCAACGCAAACGCATCAACCAGCACAAGCATCCCAAACAGGCCCGGCTTTGCACCATTTTGCTGTCTGTTTATTTCAACTTTACAGAGAAGCTTAAACATCTGTGGAAAAACACCAAAGGCTTATTTTTCTCTTAAGTTCATGTACTTTTTAGTGATAAATACACAGTATTTAACTCTGTACACCTGATAAAAGGAAAATGCATAGTAGAAAGGGTCGGGAATGAAACAGAAGCATCGGGTGTTGAATCGATCATAGAGTAGAAAAGTCGGCAGTCCCCAGAAACTCGGCCTCCAGCTGGAGCGGGGAACCAGCATACCCTGAAACTTCCCTAGCACCTTGGAAGCAAGTGGAGGTCATGATTCTTAGCTCCCTACTGGAAGACGAGTGAAAGCGACAGGCCAGCCCTGTGTATCCACCTGCACAGGGATTCCCCTCCTTGTTCCAGAAAGCTTGAGGATAGGAGCCCTGCCTCTCGGGAAAGGCCAGACCAGTGGGGAGAGGCCTCTGCAGCCCCAAGTGCCCACAAGGGGCTCGATAAGGCTTTCTGGGAGCCACTGGTAACTGGTAGCATGGAAGGGGGCAGCGGAAAAGGGCCGAGGAAATGGCAAGTGGATGGAAGGTTTGTGCTTCCTTCGAGGCCACAGGTGCAGGCCACAGGTTGCTTACACCAAATTGGTCCCACAGATGAGCCAGCAATGGAGGAAATGATGGGTGTCCTCTGTGCCCACTGGAAGAGCTGCTCACAACGGCGCCTCCTTTCCCGAGCTGGCTTTTGAAAAATCAGTGTGCTCTGAGAGAGTAGCTCAAATGCTTTGTGTTTACTGCTGTCTTGGCTTATCCTTTTCAGGTGGGGCAGGTCCTTTCCACAGCTTTCTTTGGTGTTTCTTCGTATAAAAAAAAAGTCATCAATGTGGGCCTCTCCCACCCCACTGCCCCAACAGCTGGGTGCTGCCTGATTGCTGGCATTACCCGGAAGAAATCTTAGATGGAAGTTTCCGTGGTGGGGAGAAATGGCATTGTCGGATGCAGCTGTGTAAACAAGAGAAGCCCTGTAGAAGCTCTGAGCGCTGCCACCCCCTGGGCCAGCCACCAGGCCAGGCCAGAGCCCACAGGCAGGCTGGGCCTCAGACTAGGGACTTGCTGGCTTTAACCTCTGCAAGGTGCTTATTGCAAACTAGCCAAGCCTCATCTAGCGCCAGGAGGGCTGGGGCCATTGAGTCCTTTCCCCATAATTGTAAAGAAGAAGAAGTGCAAGAGGAAGTGCTGGGTGACAAAGACCCAGCAAGCAGGCCAGACGACCCTCTTTAGACGACCTGTCCTTTGCTCTTCAAAGCCAGCATTCAATAATTCTGAAATGCTTATAAGATAACAAGAAAGGTCTGGCTAAACTACAATTAAGAGCTTAGTTAGGATCTATGGAAGCCAAGAATACCCAGGGCTCTATGAATGGGCTGGGCAGGGGAAATGACGGGGAAGGCCTTGCCTTTGTCTGAGAAGTCCTCACACCAGGGCTGATCAGATGGAAATGACGGGGAAGCAGAGTCTTCCGAACCCAGTTCCTGGTACGGTCTTTCCCCGGCTGAGATTCTGCCAAGCGCTGGAAAGCAGAGCTGGGAATCTCCCAGGGCGGAGTCCTTCCAGCTTTCCTCCCCCTCAACTTCACCCTCCCCCACCCGTGGCTCTGAAAGGAGTCACACTGGAACCTCAACCAAACTTCCCAATATTAATTGGAAGTCAAAAAGATGAACCCTGCCTTTCTGGACTTGTAGCTATAAAGGGGAACTTCCCGTGCCCAGCCCTGGTTTCCTCATACCCTGAGGAGTGGTGTGGGTTTCAAGCGTCTTCTCTAAAAGGGTGCCAAGGTTACTGTGTGGAGTCTAGGGAAGCTCAGATCTCAGGAGGGTCACTTGTGTATCAGTCCAGCGAAAGCATTTCCCAACTGGCCCTCCAGAAACTGGGTATTTCATTGACCACAACAATCAGCTAGGATTTAAAATGAAAACAAAAGCTTAGCAGTCTCTAGAATACACAGGTTATGAACTAGCTAAGCTGCTAATAGACACAGACAGGCGTAGGTCTCATCGGCTCCAACTGATCACATGCCTGAGCCGTGAACTAGGTCCTGGAAGCTCTAAATCATTTCTGAACTACTGTGCTTTAGAGTTCAGTCTAGTTAGAGACTTGAAAATATTTTTCGTTTCAGCTTAAGCCTTGTAATGTACATGGAAACATAGGATTTCACCTGAAGTTTTTGTAATTTGACAGAGAATTTACCAGAGCCCAGTCAACTATCTCAGAAACCTGCTTTCAGCACCTGTCACGAGGAAACACGTTCAGTCTTTCAGGAGAAACTTTTCCCTCCACAGCTACTGAATACCCTTCCAGGCTTGGAAAATCCCCTTCTAGAAGCACTTACTAAATTTCAAGCCCTTTCTGTTTTCCTGACTACAATTCTACCCATAAAAAAATTTTTAAATCCTTCTTAGCGATAAGCTGCATCAGGGCTCCCTGCAGCTACTGAGGGCCAGCCCCACTCTGCCTCCTGGAGTCCACAACTCTGGAAGGTGCCACGGTTTGGGTTTGCACAAGGAGCCACATCTAACCGCCTACTCCCTCTCAAATGCAGCAACCACCTCCATGGCCTCAGACCGTTGGAGTTTTCTGCTCACTTTCCCACAGTTGTCAAGCCCCACACACACACACTTGGTCTATCTGACACAGTCCTGAAAATCACAATGAAGGATTTTTGGCATAAAAACGTTTTAAAAAGGAACTGTCCCAAAATGCACATGGGTTTGGGTCTGCAACTCCTCACACCTGCCTGTTCAGCCAGCCAGCGGCCAAGGTCGACGTCACAGAGTCAAGTCCTTTTTTTTTTTTTTTTTGTCCCCTTTAAAACAACAAAGGAAAAAACAAATAACCAGAGATGACGATCAAGGCTCTACACACGTGCTCGGTTTCCGTAGGACATGCTGCTATGGAAACGCGGGTGTAGCAGCCCCGCAGAGGCGACGCGGCGTGCATGCGAGGTCGAGCGGTCCAGGCAGCTACTCCGACTCCATCGCCTCCTCCAGCTGCGGTGGATGCATGCATGCGGGGGAGCCGGGGGCAGGGGCCCCGCAACTTTCCACGCAGGGGCTGCCTTTCACAAAAGCACTTCCTCCTCCCCCACGGGGGGCGGGTCGGTGCCCTGGAGGTTGTCTTCGCTGCCTTGCTTCCTGCTCACCGAACAGAAAACCAACATTAAGACTCCAAGATACGCCAGCAAGGCTCTTGAGCCAGCTGCTCCCACATCTGGGCCCCCCTGCCCAAGTGAGCCATCGCACACCCCCTGGAACATGATCTACATAACCCAGTCTTTGAGATCCTCTCCCCCTTTTCTTTGCTCACATACATTTTTCAAAGAAGACTTTGCAGCCAACCCCTCTGTAAATGAAAGACCAGCATCATCTGCCAAAATTAGCAAGGAGCTGTACAAGTTGCAAAACTGTAACACCAAGAATCACTGCACAAATCCCAAGTAGAACGTGCCCCCACCCCACCCCACGGTGCCTGTCATGCCAGGTTTTTAGGTACCTCCACCCCCACCTAAGTTATGAGCTCTAGCAGAAAAGAGACTGTGACACTTGTCCTCAGTCACCAGCTGGTGAGTTCCGTGTGTGTGTGTGTGTGTGTGTTTGGGGAGGTGATCAGGGCCTCCCCCCCAGCCTGGCACACTGCTGGCCCTCAGGAAAGGGCGGCTGACAACTGCTCCAGTGATCCTCCCACCTCAGCTCTCCCACAGCCAGTCCTGAGGGAGGACCCCCTTAGACAGAAGAGGAGGCCCCTTCCTTCCTAGAAGTGGGGGGAGGAGAGCCCCTGTGTCCCTGATGAGCCCAGGCTAGAGCTGCCGGTGTGACAGCGTGGATGGTGTGACAGGTACGAGGGGAATCCCCAAGGAGGGGCCCATCCCCTCACCACCATCACACAGCTCCCCCGATCTTAGGGAGGCCACTGGGCATGCCACATGGGTCACTGTCTGTCCTTCCCCAACAGCAATCTGTGTCTCCTGTCCAGGCGGGAGCCTGTCCTTAGCAAAAGAAGAGAATGTGTGATGTCTGGCTTGCTATGTTTCTGATGAAGAAGGCGGGGAAGATCCCGGGGAGGAGGCACTGTAACAAGACATCAGGTCAGGCCTTCAGTCTCCACCCTCGCAGTTGCCTGTGGGTAGGGGCTGGGTCTTATTGTAGATGGCAGGGGGGCCTCCAGTCCAAGACCCCCAGTGCCTGAATCAGCTCTGTCAGCTCCCATGACCAAGGCATCCCACCTGCTGGGGGCTGAGGGCAGGGCATCACAGGTGAGGGGAAGAAGGGGCAGTATAGCCCTTTGAGCCAATCTCCATCTGCTGCAGTCTTGCAATTTTGATCTCATTGAAAATAGGGCCAGCCACAGTGGCTTGTGTCTGTAATCCCAGCACTCTGAGAGGCCAAGGCAGGCGGATCACCTGAGGTCAGGAGTTAGAGACCAGTCTGGCCAACATGGTGAAACCCCATCTCTACTAAAAAAAAATACAAAAATTAGCCAGGCATGGTGGTGAGCACCTGTAATCCTAGCTATGCAGGAGGTTGAGGCAGGAGAATCACTTGAGCCTAGAAGGCAGAGGCTGCAGTGAGCCGAAATCATGCCACTACACTCCAGCCTGGGCGACAGAGCAAGACCCTCTCTCAAAAAAGAAAATAGAAAAGAAACCAACAGCAGACTTAGCAGACTTGCTCCCAGACAGGAGGTAGCCCCAGTCTAAAACGGAGACTGAGAGGAGGAAGGCCAAGAACAGGCCAACCCACTGGGTTTCCACTCCATCGTCCCGTGAGGCTCACACCCAAGGCTGGGCTACCCAGGCATCTGTCTGGGCACAAGGTGGGGGACTTCGTCCACCTTCTGAGGTGCTGAAGACCAGCTCTGAGGGATTGCCATTTTCCCTGCTCTATGCTGGAGGGCAAGGTTTCTCTCAAAAGCATAAGTAACTCCCAAACAGGTGTTCCTCCTAGATTACCACATAAGCCCTGACTCCCTACTCCCACGGGATGGGTGGCCAATCCATTGCATCTCATAAGCCAACTCCTGACACCTGTACGCCAATGTTCATAGGATCAGTCTGCATTCAAGAGCCAAAAGGTGGAGACAAGTCCATCCACAGGTGAATGGATGAACAAAGTGAGGTGTGTCCATACAACGGAATATTATTTGGCCACAAAAAGCCATGAAGCACTAATGCACATAAAGCATGGATGAACCTGGAAAACATGATGCTAAGTGAAAGAAGCCAGACACAAAAGGCCACGCAGTGTATGATGCCATTTATATGAAATGTCTGGGATAGGCAAATCCACAGACAATTAAAAGGTGAGTGGTTGCTTGGGTGGGGGAGTTGGATGGGGACAGCTCAGGAGTGTAGGGTGTCTTCTTAGGCTGATGAAAATCTCCTAAAGTTGATGGTGGTGATGGCTGCAGAACTCCGACTGTATTAGAAAGCACTGAATCGCACTTCCCATGGGTGAACGACAAGGTATGTGAATTATACCTCAATAAAGCTATTTTCAAGAAACAGGGCCAGGCACAGTGGCTCACCCTGTAATCCCAGCACTTTGGGAGGCCAAGGTGGGGTCAAGAGATTGAGACCATCCTGGCCAACCTGGTGAAACCCTGTCTCTACTAAAAATACAAAGATTAGCTGGGCATGGTGGCACGTGCCTGTAGTCCCAGCTACTCGGGGGGCTGAGGCAGAAGAATCTCTTAAACCCTGGAGGCGGAGGTTGCAGTGAGCCAAGATCACGCCACTGCACTCCAGCCTGGGAGACAGAGGGTGACTCCATCTCAAAAAAAAAAAAAAAAAAGGAAAGAAAGAAAGAGAGAGAGAGAGAGAGAAAGAGAAGAGGAGAAGAGAAGAGAAGAGAAGAGAAGAGAAGAGAAGAGAAGAGAAGAGAAGAGAAGAGAAGAGACTGCCTGGAGCTCTCACCGAATCAGGTAGCCACGACAGGCTCAGTGGGAAGGACAGTGGGGTCCCAGCCCACCATGGCACCTGCAGCAGGGGTGCCCAGCAGGTTCCCCCAGTCTCGTAGGACACAAAGCGTCATCTGTCCTAGGAGGTTCTGGTCACCGGGCCGGGTATGTGTGTGAAGGAAGCGTGGCTGACAGCAAGGCTCTCTGCATCCCACTTGGGTGGGAGAACACTTACATTACTTTGCAACCGGCAGGAAGGGGATTTATTTTCTAGGTCTAAACACATCTAAGAAAGAGTGGAGGCCAGAGAGCCCTGAGCAAAGAGCCACACGGTGCAGCATGCCTGACCTATGCTCTGACCATGCGGACTCGCTGGGGCACCCATGGGCCCCATGACAGAGCTTCAATGCCATTGACGTGCACTGAGAAGACGTGGGTGCCACAGGGGTCTTCAGACCTGGGTGCATCCGCAGGCATTCCAGCTGGAGCGCCATGCACCCGCAGCCCCAGCCCACATGCATGACTCACCATCGGGTCCAAGCCCCTGAGGCCCCTCGTTCTAATACTGGTCTGGAGGCCCATGGTGAGCCTGGCCACAGCGGCCCAGGCTGGAAGGAACGTCTGCCTAGGTGGGGATGCCCCGTGCTCTGCAGCTGCCCCCACCCCCAGGCCCCAGCAGAGGCTATGGCACAGGCAGGCAGGCATTACCTTGAGCTCAGACAGGGGCTCACATTCCCTGGTTGTTTTTTTGCTGGAATCACCAGAGGGAGGGAAAAGGGACATGAGAAGGAAATTTTGGGATCCATGGGATGCCTGTTCCCCCACCCCAGAGACACTCACACCCCAAACACCAGCTTCAGAGAGTTGGAGCCAAAATGGTGTTGACAGCCGATGAGTGGACACCTCTCTGACTGGACACACGGGGTCCTGAGTGAGACCACACTGCTCACTCACCCATCGCAGAGCCTCAACCTCCCCATCAGGCACTCATGCTCCCCGGCCCAGAAAAGTGCTTTCCTTCCGACCACCCAGACCACCCAGAGCACCCCCAACTACAGTGCGAGTCCCCGAGAAAGGGAAACTTCAGGTGGCTTAGCCGTTAGCAAAAGGGGGTGGGCTGAGCCCAGGAAGGGGTGCCGACTGCCCCGGTGCACCAGGCGGCTTTCATCTGAGTCTCTCCAGATGGCACCACTTCAGGTAGGGCTTGTGCAGAGTGGGCTGGGCAGGGCTGCCCCAAGCTCAGCCTCCAGTCACCCACTCCCCCACCCAAGGCAGGTGGCCACTCACGTGAGCAGGTTTCCAGGAGCTGACAAGGAGCGCTCCTCCCGCCGGCTCCCCTCAAATGGGTTCCCAAAGGAGCGCTTCCGAATCATGGTCTTCACCAGGATCTGAAGAGGGAAAAAAGAGGAGGTGGCAAGTGACTGCCTGGCAGGTGGGGGCAATTCCAGGCAGCACCCTCCCTCTTCCTTCTCCCCAGCCCCTGCCAGCTCCCAAGGCTAGTGGCCTATAGCAGGCCTTTGAGAGAAACTGGCAACGTCCTTCCCACTTGGGTGCATGTGACAGAGCCATCCCTAAGTGTGACTTGTTCCAAAACATCCTGTGGCTCCCTGGTTGCCAACAAGATAAGGTCCCAACCCCCTGGTCTGACATTCAAGGCCAGTCATCATCTAGTCCCTGCCTCGCCAACCCCCACAGGCCTGTGCTCCAGGAGTGGGCCTGCACCATCCCTCGGGCACACTGACACCTCTGTCACACGGGAGTCATGGCTGGATAGACTCCCCAGTTCCCTCAGCCTGTCTCATCTTCAAGGCCAGGCCTTTATTTTTGGTGAAAGCTGTCTATGACCACACCAGTGAGAAGCTACTGCCTCCTAGCTATGATTCTGGGAGTCGGGCTGCTTTTTCAAAATTGAGACATACAAAAGTGAGTAACTCAGGAATGGAAAAGCAAACATCTTATCTTCTTATTTATAAGGGGGAGTTAAGCTATGAGGACGCAAAGGCGTAAGAATGACACAATGGACTTTGGGGACTTGGCAGGAAGGGTGGGAGGATGGGTGAGGGATAAAAGCCTACACACTGGGTGCGGTGTATACTGTTCAGGTGGTGGGCACACCAACATCTCAGAAATCACCACTGAAGTGCTTATCCACGTAACCAAACACTACCTGCTCCCAAAAACCTATTGAAATGGAGAAAAATATATATATGGGTTTGAAAAAAAACAGAAATCAAATATAATTCACATAACATAAACTTTTTTTTTTTTTTTGAGGTGGCGTCTTGCTCTGTCATCCAGGCTGGAGTGCAGTGGTGCAATCTCAGCTCACTGCAACCTCCGCCTCCCAGGTTCAAGGGATTATCCTGCCTCAGCCTCCCAAGTGGCTGGGACTACAGGCATTGCCACCATGCCCAACTGATTTTTATATTTTTAGTAGAGATGGGGTTTTACCATATTGGCCAGTCTGGTCTTGAGCCCCTGAACTCAGGTGTTCCACCCACCCCGGCCTCCCAAAGTGCGGGGATTACAGGCGTGAGCCACCAGGCCTTGCTCCCACCATCGTAAAGTATATGATTCAACGGTTTTTAGTATATTCACAGCCCCACTATCTAATTTCAGAACATTTGCATTACCCCAAAAAGACACCCCACGCCTGTTAGCAAGGCACGCCCCTCTCGCCCTTCCTCCAGCCCCTGGTGACCACTAATCTCCCTGTCTATGCACACTGAGCCATCCGGGACGTTCCTATAGATGAAACCATACCACACATGGTCTGTCGTGTCCGGCTTCTCTCACTCAGCGTCATGCTCCTGAGCGCTGGAGCGTGATCAGTGCTTGGCTGCTTTCTGTGGCCCAACAATAACACTGCACAGATGGACCACATTCGGCTTCTCCATTCATCTACCGATGGACACGCATTCCTACCCTTTGGCTACTGTGAATAGTGCTGCTATGAGCATTCATGTATCAATTTTGGTATAGACATGTTACCCACACAAAATGTCTTCATTTCTCTTGGGCACAGACGAGGAGAGGCACTTCTGGATCACGTGGTAATTCTGTTGAACACCTAAATATAAGACTGTCTCCTACAATGGCCATGGCATTTTACATTCCCCCCAGCAACGCACCAGGATACCAGTTTCTCAGGGGGCTGCGTCTTAGTCAGGGATGGGAAACATCCCAGAACGCTGAGGATGGCCAGCTCACAAGCTGGTGTGGTGTGAGAAGAGCTTGGCCGCCCTGGAAGATGTTCCTGAGAGACGATGGGGGCTGGCCTCAGTGGTGGCCCAGCTCCGCCCATACTAAACACAGGCCACATCAGCAGCCTGGCTGGGAAACAGCCCCCCACAACCCCCACCGAGAGAATCCTCTGGGAAAAGGTGCGTCCTGCACCACACCCTTCAGCCACTGCTCAGCGCCTCTCCCAGGCCTCCTGCTTTCCACTTTCCTCCCTCCCATCCCTTCCAAAACCCAGATCTGGTCCCCTCACTCCCTGACTCAGAATCCTCACCCAGAGGGGTCTGGAACTTGGCCTGTGGCCAGCCAGAGAGCCCCAGAAAGTTCTGGAGCAAAGGTGTGAACAATCACCCTTGGTGATGCTCTTGGTTGCCATTTCCCATGAAGAGAACGGCCTGTGGACCCCGTAAGAGTCACTGGGCCCCTCACGCCACCCCAACTGGGTGCGGTACCCCTTCAAGCTGTTTGAGGAATTCACTGAGCTTCTGACTTTTTAAGCATTTGCTGCTAACAAGAAAAGTAAGTGTTTGAGAAACATTGAGGCCAGGCACGGTGGCTCACGCCTGTAATCTCAGCTCTTTGGAAGGCTGAGGCAGGCAGATTACAAGGTCAGGAGTTAAAGACCAGTCTGGCCAATATGGTGAAACCCTGTCTCTACTAAAAATACAAAAATTAGGAGTGGTGGCACACGCCTGTAGTGCCAACTACTCAGGAGGCTGAGGCAGCAGAATGGCTTGAACTCAGGAAGTGGAGGTTGCAGTGAGCCGAGATTGTGCCACTGCACTCCAGCCTGGGTGACAGAGCAAGACTGTCTCAAAAAAAAAAAGTTTCCTTTTTAGACACATTGATTTACCAAAAGGTGGAAACACCCAAATGCCCATCAACTGAAGAACAGATAAACTCAAAGTGGTCTGTCTGTGTGAAGGAACGTGATTCAGCCATAAAAGGAATGAAGCACTGATCCAGGCTCCGACATGGATGGACCCTGGAAACCTTATGCTATGTGAAAGAAGTCAGGCCCAAAAGGCCACACCGTGTAGGATTCCACCGGAATACAGAAATCTACAGACAGAAAGGGCAGGTGAGTGGGTGCCGGGGCGGGGGGAGGGAATGGAGGGGATGGAGGGGATGGAAGGGATGGAGAGGATAGAGGGGATGGAGAGGATGGAGGGAATGGAGGGGATGGAGAGGATGGAGGGGATAGAGGGGATGGAGAGGATGGAGGGAATGGAGGGGATGGAGAGGATGGAGGGGATAGAGGGGATGGAGAGGATGGAGGGAATGGAGGGGATGGAGGGAATGGAGGGGATGGAGGGGATGGAGGGGATGGAGGGGATGGAGGGGATGGAGGGGATGGAGGGAATGGAGGGAATGGAGGGGATGGAGGGAATGGAGGGGATGGAGGGAATGGAGGGAATGGAGGGGATGGAGGGGATGGAGGGAATGGAGGGGATGGAGGGATGGAGGGGATGGAGGGAATGGAGGGAATGGAGGGGATGGAGAGGATGGAGGGAATGGAGGGGATGGAGGGGATGGAGGGAATGGAGAGGAGGGAGGGAATGGAGGGAATGGAGAGGATGGAGGGAATGGAGGGGATGGAGAGGATGGAGAGGATGGAGGGAATGGAGGGAATGGAGGGGATGGAGAGGATGGAGGGAATGGAGGGAATGGAGGGGATGGAGAGGATGGAGGAATGGAGGGGATGGAGGGAATGGAGGGAATGGAGGGAATGGAGGGGATGGAGGGAATGGAGGGGATGGAGGGGATGGAGGGAATGGAGAGGATGGAGGGAATGGAGGGGATGGAGGGGATGGAGGGAATGGAGGGAATGGAGGGGATGGAGGGGATGGAGGGGATGGAGGGAATGGAGGGGATGGAGGGGATGGAGAGGATGGAGGGAATGGAGGGGATGGAGGGGATGGAGAGGATGGAGAGGATGGAGGGGATGGAGGGTGACTGCCGATGGACGAGGGTGTCAAGTCATGAAAATGTTCAGAACTGTGGAGGGATAACTGCACGCCACTGACAATGTCCCAAATGCCACTGATTTGTTCGCTTTAATTTTATGTGAATTCTACCTCAATTTAAAAGAAGGTGGGGGCTGGGTGTGGTGGCTCACACCTGTAATCCCAGCACTTTGGGAGGCCAAGACAGGCAGATCACCTGAGCCAGCCTGGCCAACATGGTGAAACCGTCTCTACTAAAAATACAGAAATTAGCTGGGGGTGGTGATTGGCACCTGTAGTCCCAGCTACGCAGGAGGCTGTGGCAGGAGAATTGCTTGAACCCAGGAGGCAGAGGTTGCAGTGAGCCAAGATCGTGTCATTGCACTCCAGCCTGGGCAATAGAGGACTCCATCTCAAAAAAAAAAAAAGAAGAAAAGCAGCACCGACTTTGGGAATGAAGGCCTCTTCCCCTGCTGAGGTTCCTACCTACAGTCACTGGAACATGCCAGCCCCTCTTTCCTCTGCCTGGGCAGGTGTCACTTCCCCAGGTGAGCCCGCTCTGCCACCTCCCCTGTGGCCTTGTCAATCCAGCACAGAAACTCCTCCTCTGTGAAGCCCCCAGCCCTTGCACCTCTGATCACACCAGAGGCTTATTCTTCCCAGGTCCAGCTTTCTTATAAGGCCAGAAGCTCCGCCCCCCAACCCCCGAGAGCTGGCACTGGGCCATGCTCATCTTTGACACCTGTGCCTGGCACATGCTGCTGCCCCGTGTTTGCTGAATGATGAACACACGGAGGGGGCCTGCGCTTTGCAATCCTGTTCCGAGTGAGACCCTTTCCCAGTATCTACTTGCCCATCCCTGCTCCAGCTGCCCTGGTTCGAACCCATGGCTCTTGGAGTAAAGATGTAAAACTTGGCCGCACCCTCCCCTCCACTTCCTTGCCCTGCTTCAGTGGCCCTGCCCAGGTGTTAGCCCCCTCCACCCTCTCTCTGCAGAGTTAACATCCTACCATCTTTCGGTGTCTATCCACTTCTTCCAAATGGGGCCAAGTGTCCCTCCATTAGGGGCATGTCTTGCCCTGTACATACATTTGCTGGTTTGACCAGCATCTGCCTTGCAAGCATGGCAGAGGCCATGGGGGTTTTGCTCATCACCCAGCCCCTGCTCCCAGCTTGGTGTTCCACAAGTGTTTCCCGAATAATGAATGCCTACTCCAGACCTCCAGGGTCAGACGCTTTCTCCCAAGAACCTGCAGCTGAGAGCTGGGGAGGAAAGGGAGGGCAACTGATTCAGGACCGGAACATCCCAAGCCTGGAACAGAGTAACCCACAGTGGGTGCAGAGTCCGAAGCCAGCTGCCTCCCCATCTACAGGCGCAGGGGGTGGGGTGTGGCTGAGGAAGGGTGTGTGGGGGTGAGTGAGTCTTCAGCAGTGAAGGTCATGCATAGCCCCAGGGGGAAGGAGTGGAGGAAGATGTTGATGATGCCCCAGTCAGGGCTCAGCTTTGGAAGGAGGAGAGAGCAAGTGTGTGGGGAAGAAGAGAGGAGAGGTGCAAAGCTGGAGGAGAGGAGCAGCACCCGGGCCCCTACAGGGCCAGTCTTTCAGAGCTGGACCTTCTGTGCCTTTGCAGTCAGTCTCACGGGTCCCTCCCAGAGCCCAGGGCCCGCCAGCACCTGAGACCAGTGCTGGCCAACTGCAACGAGGCCTTTCGAAGTGGCTGTGGTAGGACAACCTGCTGGTCTCTGTCCCCAGGCCTGCTGCCTAGAGCCTGGAGCCCCAGGACTCCTGGCCTCCCTCTTGGAGCTAGCTGCCTCCTAGACAGGGACTTGGTCAGTGGCAATTCCCAGAGCCTCCCACATTAGGCCTGAGGACTCGACATTCTGGCTTCTTCTTCCTGGGTCAGGATCCAAATTTAAGGCCATAAAAGGGGACCTGGTGGCTCCTAAGCAAAATCCCACCCTCAGGAGATGGGCAGAACTTTCCTGGTGGCTGCGCACACAGTAGGCGCGAGATGTGCTATACCATCCACTCTGGAGCCTAAAAGTCCAGCCAGGTGGGAATCCTGGCTTAGCGACCTCAGCCCCGGCTCCCAGCCCTTGCTCCTGCCTGGCACTTCTCCTAGTTACTCTCCCCTGATAAGCTCTGAAAGCAGGAATTCCAGGAGAAACTCCCCCCTCCCTATGGTAACATGGAACCTGGCTCAGAAGATGCAGGGGTCACCTGGCCTGATGTGTGACCGAGGCCCAGAGGCCAGCAGCTGTGGGTTAGGAGCGGCCCCCAGCCATCTCCTGACTCCCAGGCACCCGCCTGTGTCCTGCCTGTCCTGGCCAGGCCCCACCTCAGGCTCCTGGGTCCCTGCTCTGGTCAGGGGTCCGGCCACCTTACCACGGTCGCCAGGCTGGGAATATGTTTGACTGAGTTCTCGACCTCCTCTTCGGTCACTTCGACCAGCGTGCAGTTCTCGTCCTCCGACGGCAACGGCTCCGCCCCATGCCTCGTGACCCAGGGGTGCAGCTTCAATGAACGACAGGAGGGGTGAGGGGCGGGTGCGGCTGGCTCCCGGAGGGCCCTGCCAGCAAGCGGAGACACGAGGGCATGCAGGAGGGAGAGGCAAGGGTCTGTAGTCAGGCATGCAAGACAGCTGGCGAGCAGAGGGCAGGTGTGAGCAAAGGGGCGGAACGTGAAGACAGAGAGACAGGACAGGGGGAGCTTGGAGGCTGAAATGGGAGCAGGGCGATTCTCCATCCGGCCCCAGGTCTTGGCCGAAGTGGCTGGAATTTGGCATCTGCCTTGCCTGGCTGCCCAAGGAGCCTCCATCACGCCTCAGCCACAATCCCTGACACCAGGGAGGCTCGGCACACAGCAGGTGGCATTCTCCCCACCTCACAGCAGTGGAGACAGAGGCTGGTGGGCACAGTGAGACCAGCTGGCAGGACACGATCAGGAGAGGACCACACAGGGGTCTGCCCCTTGGGTCCCAGCCCTAAACCTAAAATTACTTTCTGGGCTGCCTCCTGTTAAGACATCTTCAAACGCTGGTTAGCTAGGCACCTAGAAGGTCCCCAAGCAAATCTCTAGATTTCTTTTTCTTTTTGTGAGATGGAGTCTTGCTCTGTTGCCCAAGCTAGAGTGCAGTGGTATGATCTTGGCTCACTGTAGACTCTGCATCCTGGGTTCAAGCGATTCTCCTGTCTTAGCCTCCCGAGGAGCTGGGATTGTAGGTGACCACCACCACACCTGGCTAATTTTTGTATTTTTAGCAGAGATGGGTTTCACCATGTTCAAACTCCTGACCTCAGGTGATCCACCCGCCTCAGCCTCCCACAGTGCTGGGATTACAGGCGTGAGCCACTGCACCCAGCCTATCTCTAGATTTCTTTTTTTTTTTTTTCATTCTTTTTTTCTTTTCTCTAGATTTCTTAAAGAGCCAGATGTATGCGTGTGGCATTAGTGGGGATGTGTCGGGGAGGACACTTTCCTAAAAGTGCTTTCTGTAAGAAGGTAGACTTTGGCAGGTTGGGGAGGCAGAGCTGCTCACTAATTTCCTCCTGTCCTCAATGCAGTTTCTCAAAGGGACTGGCCTTTGCAAAGGACCCGAGTTCCGGCAGCAGGGTGTGGAGCATGGGGCCCAGGTTGGCCTGCAGTGGGTGGATCCCGGCGGCCCACACCAATCGAAGCAAGTGTAGGCTGGCCGGTCACAGATCCCACTCCACGAGCACAGTGCACACGACGCCCACATCTTCCCCACCCCGCAACAGAGCCCCCAGCAGCTCACAGGCCCCAGGGCCTGGGAGAACAGCAGTGCCAAAAAGGGTGTGGTGCTGTGGACACAAGGGTGTGGGGCCTGGTTGAGGCATAGCTGAGCCAAACAGTTCCAAGCACGGGCACTGGCCAAGCCAAGGGTACCTTGATTTCTGGCACCACAATTCTCGACTCAGGGTTCTTGTCCAGCATACGGGTGATCAGATCCTTCAAGTCCTCAGCTATATCCGGCCTGTGGATGGAGACATGTCAGGGTGGGAGATACATCAGGCATGGGAGACACAGGACTTCCAAGAACTCGGACCGGGGGAGACACAGGATGGCGGGAGATACTCACTGGTCTGGAAATTCCAGGGCCTGACTCTTGATCTTACTGTGTAAACACATGATCCGCTCGTCCATGAATGGGCACTGCGAAGAGACCAGGGACAGAGTGACGGTCCATGGCGGCCACCCGTGCTGTGCCACTCCACATAGGACAGAGCCGAGAAACCAACAACTATGGCCCAGGCTGGGGCGCAGACAGTTCCCATTCTTCCCGAGAATGGCGCAGACACAGGGGTGTGGGGCCCAGCCGAGGCTGGGCAGAGCCAGGAATGCCCAGGAGTGTCCTTCTTAAAGGGCTAGAGCCCTTCCCAAGCACACTGCTGCCTTCCTCTGTAGCTGGGCCTCAGTTTGCCTACTTACACCAAAGCAAACACTGCTCGTCACCCTCTTGCCAGGTGAGCAACAGAAACACCAGAACAAAACAGAAGCTTCGCAGCAGCAGCAGCAGCAGCAGTGACGTGCAAGGGTGTAGCCTGGACCACGCCGCGCCCTGCCCTAGGGTTTTCATTCACTGTTCCCCCTCCCCGGAATGTTCTTCCCACCAATATCTACATGGCTTGGTCTCTCCCACCATGCAGGTATTTGACGAAAGCTCACCATCTCAGGGAGACCTTCCTGCACCCCTGTCTAAAACAGACAACCGCCAACACCACCGCTGCCCACACTATCCCAGCGTAGCACTTATCCCTGATGTTATCGTACAGATTTGTTTATTGGTTTGTTTGTTTGCTTTTTGAGACAGAGTCTTGCTCTGTTGCCAGGAGCCAGGCTGGAGTACACTGGTGTGATCTTGGCTCACTGCAACCTCCGCCTCCCAGGTTCAAGCAATTCTCCTGCCTTACCCTCCCGAGTAGCTGGGACTATAGGCGTGCACCACCACACCCAGCTAATTTTTGTATTTTAGTAGAGATGGGGTTTCACTATGTTGGCCAGGATGGTCTCGATCTCTTGACCTTGTGATCCGCCCGCCTCGGCCTCCCAAAGTGCTGGGATTACAGGCATGAGCCACCACGCCCGGCCTTGTTTATTGTTTAACTCCTCCCACGGGAATGTCAGCTCCAAGAAAGCACGGATTTCTGTCTGTCTTGCTCACTGCAAACTCTCCCGTGCCTAAGAGCATTCCTGGCACAAAATAAGGGCTCAATAAACAGCTGCTAAATTAATGGACACTTGAATTATTTTTGTCAATCTTCTCAGAAGCCATCAGAAATCATAAGGAGTATTCTCATTTTACAGAAGAGAAAAACAAGTTCAGAGAAATAACGTGCCCCGGAGGTACAGAGAGTGATGTAAGCCTAGATTCAGCTAACTCCGAGGCCTATTTCTGCACCGCCTTCTGGGTGACAAATCGGAGCTTTCACCCAGCCACGGGCCTCACTCAAGAGGAGCTCAGTTATGTGTGCTAGAGAAAAGGATGCTTTACATGGGGCACTGAAATGGTGAAAAAGGTGGCAGAGAGGTACTGAACCACCCCGCCTAAGGAAAACGATTTCATTAAGACCAGGGACTTGAGCTCTGGCTACTCGCTGCCCCCTAAAGCGTTTGCGAGGAAGAGCAGAGACGGTGGTGACTTACTCTGAAATACATAAAGAAACCAGATGGACTGAGGGATGGGTAAGGAATGAACAGACAAGCACGGAAAAGGTTAACAGTAGAATCCAGGTGGTGGGTACGCGGGTGTTCACTGTACAGTTCTGCCAACTTCGCTGTATGATTGAAAAATCTTCTCATCAAATATTGAGAGGCAATCGTTACAAACTCTTTTATTTCTTCATAAGTTTCTTAAGCTTTCCTCGATAAGAACGCAAGCTCAGGAAAGGGAAAAATCTGCGTTTTTATTGCTCACACAGTCAAAGTGAACTTCAGAGTTAAAACAAGAAGGCCAGGTGCAGTGGCTCACAACTGTAATCCCAAATCCCAGCACTCTCGGAGGCCGAGGTGGGCGGATCACTTAAGGTCAGGAATTTGAGACCAGCCTGGCCAACATGACAAAAAGCCGTCTCTACAAAAATACAAAAATTAGCCGGGCGTGGTGGCTGGCACCTGTAGTCCCAGCTACTTGGGAGGCTGAGGCAGGAGAATTGCTTGAACCCAGGAGGTGGAGGTTGCAGTGAGCTGAGATCACACCACTGCACTCCAGCCTGGATGACTGAGCAAGACTCCATCTCAAAAAAAATAAATGAATAGACATCAATAATAACAAAATAACAACAACAGAAAAGCCCAAACAGCACTCCCTAAACCAGTAACGGTAAACAGCTTTTAATGTGGATTCCAATGCTACCCCTCTGACAATAGCTTCTAGGAATACCCTGATGGAAAAAACGTCAGAGCAGTATCAGGCTCAGGAGGAATCAGCATAGTTATTGATTAGTGATGTCTGTCTTGGGCTCAGAAATGGGAGAGGTGGCACGATTGCTCTTCATGCCTTAACTTTATCAACTATTTATAAACTCTAAAGCCTCTGCCAATCCTTGTTTTAACAGATCGTTTTTTCACAGATATGTATATGACATACACACACATATACATTTAAGAAGGCATCCTTTTTCACACTGAGACCTAGGTGTAGAAATAAAATAACTCTTATTTTATTTTGAAATGGAGTCCCTCTTGTCGCCCAGGCTGGAGTACAATGGCATGATCTCGGCTCACTGCAACCCACACCTCCCGGATTCAAGCAATTCTCCTGCCTTAGCTTCCTGAGTAGCTGGGATTACAGATGTGAGCCAATATGTCCGGCCTAAAATAACTCTTACATAAGTAAGTATGGTCTCCCCGAAAGGAGGACTATTAGCCCAGGGGCCACCCAGCAGCACTAAGGGGATGGGACATCCCACCCTCTTACCTGGCCAAAGACAAAGCAGTAGAGGGTCACACCCATGGCCCAAACATCCAATGCCTGTAAGAAAAAGGGAGCTTAGTGTGAAGGCACAAGGGGCAGTCCAGCATCCAATCCTCCATCTTTCCTCTAGGGAACTACCTCTTGACTCTCAGCCCTTGGAGCTGGGGAGGGACCAATCCTGTCTCCTAGGCTCTGGGACAGGCACAGGACCCAGGCCAGGCCAATGAGAGCACCAGTACCCCCAGCCACAGTGACTGGTTCAAGTGATTGGACACATGACCCATATTGGGCCAATCAGAGCCAACCCCAGGGTTTTTGCAGAGCTAGTCAGAAAGAGGAACACTATTGCCACTGAGGTTGGCAAATGATTGAAAGTAACCTGGACCCTTGGTGCCTGACCCACCTGTAGAGGAAACCAAATAAGGAAAAAACTGAAAGATGGAGAGAGATGGTTTCTGTTTGAGTCCCTGGATCTAGCCAAGCCTGAAGCCTACTCCTCAGTATCACGATCCAGTGGATTCACTGTTTAAGCCTGGATGAGTTGGATTTTTGCTGCTCAAAACCTAAGACTAACACAGGCAGAACTCTGTGGCTGAGGCAGGCCCAAGCTCACCTTCCCAGAGAAGATCTTGCGGGTCTCAGAGAGCGACTCGGGCGCCATGAAGGCGGGCGTGCCCACAGTGTTGGAGAGGAGAGCGTCGCTGCCCTTGAACTCGTTGCTCACACCAAAGTCGGCAATCTTGATGTGCCCATCCTCTCCGACCAGGAGGTTGGAAGGTTTGATGTCACGGTGGATGATCTTCTGGTAGTGTACTGGGGAGAGGTGGACAGCAGGTGGGAGACAGGGGCAGGAAAACCCCGTGAGGACCTCCGTGTGGCAACATGGACTGGAGACACAAGCATGGCACCCTCTGGTGCCTTGTCTCCCACAGACAGGCCTTTTCCAACCTTCCCCTCCCCAAACCCGCTGAGCACTCACATGCTCTAAAAGATGAGGGGAAAAGAGTATCTTCAAGGAAGTACCAACTCACCATCACCCCACCCTTTCTCAACAATGAACATGAAACGGCCAATAGCAGTTCGTAATCGCCTGTTATTTATTAAGGCACAAGTGACAATGCATGAAAAGTTTTTGCTGGGCTTGGCTCCCAGCTCTGAGTGAGACTGAGCGTGAAACACATTTTCATTTACCAACAGCCAACACTCAGCTGATTTACCAAACCAACAATGACCTGAGCAGGCCGATTTGAAATGTGAACCACACAGCCGAACTGGGGGCTTGGCTAACTCTTCCTGACTGGGTATCAGCCCATGGCACAGGACAATTCTACAGCCTGAGGACCCAACTGCCATGAAGATGATTTCTGTAAAAGCGGCAGCAGCTCTGTTCGCAGAGCACCAAGTAAGAGGCCCAGCCCTGCATTAGGTGTTTCACATTCACATTTTACATTTAATTAAACCTCCAACCATCCTATGTGACAAGCAGGGGTAAGAGCTAACATGATGGCTGGGCTCGGTGGCTCACACCTGTACTCCCAGAACTTTGGGAGGCCAAGGCAGCAGATCACCTCAGGTCAGGAGTTCAAGACCAGCCTGGTCAACATGACAAAACCCCATCTCTACTAAAAATAAAAAAATTAGCTGGGCGTGGTGGCAGGTGCCTGTAATCCCAGCTATTTGGGAGGCTGAGGAACAAGAACCACTTCAACCCAGGAAGCAGAGGTTGCAGTGAGCTGAGATCACACCACTGCACTCCAGCCTGGGCAACAAGTAAGAATCTCAAAAAAAAAAAAAAAAGAGCTAAGATGTTTAACAAGTAGAAGCAGAAAGGACACGTGCCAATCAAACCACTGATGTGTACTGGCTGATCTCTCAGCCCTGGTGGGTGAGAGACGTTATCCCCATTTTACAGATGAGGAAACTAAGGTTCCAGGAGGTTAACAGGACCCTGATCCCAGGGTGGCTGGAAGGAATAGGAGACAAAAAAAGTAGAGCCCCAAATAGTGCCTGGTGCACACAGAAAGTGCTAAATAGTCACTATTGCTACCGCTCTTCATTTTTCCAAGTGGCAGTAAGAAGGGTTTGGCTTGCCTGGGCCATGGCCCTAGGGTGGCTCTCTGCAGCTGGCCCTGATTCTTCCTCTCACACAATTTTGCTTTCTGTTGTGATGGCTAATACTGAGTGTCAACTGGATTGGACTGAAGGATACAAAGTATGAATCCTGGGTGTGTCTGTGTGGGTGGTGCCAAAGGAAATTAACATTTGAGTCAGTGGGCTGAGAAAGGCAGGCCCACCCTTAATCTGCTGGGCACAATCTAATCAGCTGCCCTCAAATATAAAGCAGGCAGAAAAAAACGTGAAAGGTGAGGCAGGCCTAGCCCCCACAGCCCGCATCTTTCTCCTGTGCTGGATGCTCCCTGCCCTCAAACATCGGACTCCAAGATCTTCAGTTTTTTTTTTTTTTTTTTTTTGACAGAGTTTCGCTCTTTTTACCCAGGCTGGAGTACAATGGCGCGATCTCGGCTCACTGCAACCTCCGCCTCCTGGGTTCAGGCAATTCTCCTGCCTCAGCTTCCTGAGAAGCTGGGATTACAGGCACGTGCCACCATGCCCAGCTAATTTTTTGTATTTTTGGTAGAGACGGGGTTTCACCATGTTGACCAGGATGGACTCGATCTCTTGACCTCGTGATCCACCCACCTCGGCCTCCCAAAGTGCTGGGATAACAGGCGTGAGCCACCGCGCCTGGCCAGATCTTCAGTTTTGAGAGTCAGAAGGGCTCTCCTTGCTCCTCAAGCTTGCAGACAGCCAATTGTGGAACCTTGTGATCCTGTAAGTTAATACTTAAAATACTCCCCTTAGCCAGGAATGATGGCTCATACCTATAATCCCAGCACTTTGGGAGGCTGAGGCAGGCGGATCACCTGAGGTCGGGAGTTCAAGACCAGCTAACCAACATGGAGAAACCCCATCTCTACCAAAAATACAAAAAAAAAAAAAACATAGCCGGGCATGGTGGTGCACACCTGTAATCCCAGCTACTCGGGAGGCAGGAAAATCACTTGAATCCAGGAGGCGGAGGTTGCAGTGAGCAAGATGATGCCATTACACTCCAGCCTGGGCAACAAGAGTGAAACTCCGTCTCAAAAAATAAATAAATAAATAAATAACTCTTCTTTGTGTGTGTGTGTGCGTATATCCATAACCTATTAGTTCTGTCTCTCTAGAGAACCCCAGTCCACCCACCCATCTCCTTGTGCTCCAGGAAGAAAATAAGACAGTCTCCACTCTGCACCCATAGCTCGTAACACTAACTAGCCGCCGGGTGAGAGTCCTCCCACAGGCCCCGCTTACAGTACTCGATGCCTTTGATCAGATCTTGGAAGTAGAAACGGGCCTGGTCTTCAGAAAGAGGTTTGAGAGTGGGCACTTCCATCACGGGCCTGCAAGGTCGATACACGCATGAAGCACAAACCAGATCCACCCAGCCCTTGCCCTCTCTCACCAGCAGAGCCTGGTGGCACCTCACTCAGCTACGCAGCTGGTGAAGCTTCTGGCATCACCCGTGCCGGGAGCTGGGACACTCACCCTTGGTTGACCAGTTCGAACACTATAAGGAAGAAAAGGGAGTGAACTGTTATATGGGAAAATGAACATCCATCTCTCTGTCCTCCCCACCTCCCAACCACCTCCAGGAACACCGAGAAAGACAGAAACTAATATTAGAGCTGGGGAGAAGTACAGTCCACTGAACCAAGCTGGCCAAGGTCCTGCTTTGCTAAATTTCCAACAGAAGGCAAAGGACCAGGGATTTCTGACGTCCCTAGCTCCAGTCTGGCTTGACTTCTGGCGCTCAAATTGGCCCAGGATCCACTAATCAAAGAAAACAAGGCAGGAGCTGGGCAAGGTGGCTCACGCCAGCGTAATCTCAGCACTTTGGGAGCCAATGCGGGCAGATCACCTGAGGTCAGAGGTTCAAGACCAGCCTGGCAAACATGGCACAACCTCGTCTCTACTAAAAATATAAAAACCAGTCAGGCATGGTGGCAGGTGCCTGTAGTCCCAGCTACCTGGGAGGCTGAGGCATAAGAATCACTTGAAACTGGGCGGCAGAGGTTGCAGTGAGCCGAGATCACAGCACTGCACTCAAGCCTGGGCAACAGAGCAAGATTCTGTCTCAAAAAAAAATTGAGATTGAAATTTACATCACATAAAACTATCCATTTTAAAAGTATGTAATTGAGTGGCGTTTAGTGTATTCACAATATTATGCGATCATCACTAGTTCCAGAACATTCTCATCACCTCAAAAGGAAACCTTGTCCCCTCAGCAGTCGTCATTCCCCATTCTTCCCTCCCTCAAGCACCTGGCCACTTCTAATCTGCTTTCTGTCTCTGTAGATCTGCCTGTTCTGGACATGTCACGTAAATAGACTTGAACACTATGTGGCCTTTTGTGTCTGGCTGCTTTCACTTAGCATCATGTTTTTCAGGTTCATCCACACTGGAGCCTGGATCAGTGCTTCATTCCTTTTCATGGCTGAATAATATTCCATTGTCTGGGTAGACCACATTTTCTTCGTCCATTCATCTGTTGAGGGCATACGGTCTGTTTCTATTTTTTGGCTGTCGTGAATAGTGCTGCAGTGAACATTCGCGTACACGCATTTGTGTGGATATCTGTTTTCGGTTCTTTTGGGTATATACCTAGGAGTGGGCTTGCTGGGCCACATGGTATAGTTAATTTGATTCTGCCACGACAAGCATAACTGGGAATACAAGGCTGTACTTTAGGAAGTAAAAAAAAAGAGCACAGTAGATTTCAAAATCCAGCGAATGACTTCGGGGTTGCTTATTGTTCTTGAGTCATATGCTCAGAATGAGATGAGCATGTAACAGAAACCAAAGGGGATACCCCATTTTCCGTGATGTAAGAATGCACTGCATGTCAGTATCAAAACACCTCATGTACCCTATAACTATATCCACCTACCATGTCCCCATAAAAATTTTTTTTAAAAACTTTTTTTTGAGATGGAGTCTTGCTCTGTTGCCCAGGCTGGAGTGCAGGTGGCACGATCTTGGCTCACTGCAACCTCTGCCTCCTGGGTTCAAGCAATTCTCCTGCCTCAGCCTCCCAAGTAGCTGGGACTACAGGTGCCCACCACACCTGCCTAATTTTCATATTTTTAGTAGAGACAGGGTTTCACCATATTGGTCAGCCTGGTCTCAAATTCCTGACCTCAGGTGATCCACCCATCTTGGCCTCCCAAAGTGCTGGGATTACAGGCAATTTTTTTTTTTTTAATGAAACCAAAGGGTTGTTTCAAAGTTCTCCAAGGCCTGAGAAGGCCAAGGGGAGCGGAGAAGCTACTCAGACAAAAAAGAAGACTTAAAGATTCTGATCAGGAAAGAACTGAACTCTCCCAGACCTTCCCTGTCTTCACAGCACCAACCAATGTGAGTTAGGGCAGGTGCCATTGCCTCGGGCTGTAGTTAAAAGCAAAGGTAATGCTAAGGTACAGCTTCGCCGGATAACCCAGCGCTAGCCCCCTCAGTTTTGGCCTTTCCTGCTATTTAAGTCTTAACTTGCAAGCTTCATGAATATCTGCACCATCCTCCCACCCACCCAAGCACCATGAATCAGGTGGCATGAGGGAGGGTGGCCTGTTGAAACAGGTCTATTTTCAGTCACTGACAGTTCAACCACTTTTGGGGCTGAGCAGTGGGTGGGAATTTTTTAACCTCCAGAAATAGAGACTGAGTTTTCTACCTTTTTTTTTTTTTTTTTTTTAAGACAGAGTCTTCTCTGTTGTCCAGGCTGGAGTGCAATTGCGTGATCTCGACTCACTGCAACCTCCACTTCCCAGGTTCAAGCGATTCTCCTGCTTCAGCCTCCCAGGTAGCTGGGATTACAGGCATGTGCCACCACACCTGGCTAACTATGTATTTTTAGTATAGATGGAGTTTCACCATGTTGGTCAGGCTGGTCTTGAACTCCTGACCTCAGATGATCCTTCTGCCTTGGCCTCCCAAAGTGCTGGGATTACAGGCATGAACCACCATGCCCAGCCCACCCCGTTTTTTTTTTTTCAATTGAGACAGGGTCTTGCTCTGTCACCCAGGCTGGAGTGCAGTGGCACAATCGTAGCTCACTACAGCCTCAAACTCCTGGCCTCAAGTGATCCTCCCAACTCAGCCTCCCAAAGTGCTGGGGTTACAGGCATGAGCCACCGCACCTGGGCTGAGTTTTCTGCCCTTTGCATGTCAGGCCTATGGCTGCAGAGCCTTCCTGACACCTACTACCTGGCCTTGTGCACTGCCCTGTCTGTCTCAGGCTCACACCACTGTGGCTGGAAAGTAAAATATAACCATGTCAGGATTTTCAAAACCACTGGAATCGCATATCCCAAATTAGCATGGCTCCTTTCTGCGACTGCCACCTTGAGTAGTGAAAAACTGTCTCTGCAGCTGCCCTGCTCAAGCAGATCAGGAAACTCCTCTTAGAGGCTTGGACCATGTTCTTCTTATCCTCATTCCACCCCTCAGCTCAATCCCCGCCAATGGCTTCCATCACCCTCAAAATCAAAGCCAAATTTTTAATTTTTTTTTGGAGGCAGTCTCACGTTGTTGCCCAGGCTGGAATGCAGTGGCACCATCTCAGCTCACTGCAACCTCCACCTCCCAGGTTCAAATGATTCTCGTGCCTCAGACTCCAAGTAGCTGAGATTATGGGTGCATGCCACCACACCTAGCTAATTTTTGTATTTTTAGTGGAGACGCGGTTTCGCCATGCTGCCCAGGCTGGTCTCAAACTCCTGAGCTCAGGTGATCCACCGGCCTCGGCCTCCCAAAGTGCTGGGTTTACAGATGTGAGTCACCGCGCCCGACCCAAGTTCTTTACAATGTTATAAAATACCCTCTGCCACCTGGTCCCTACTGTTCTGCCCAAATGTCATCTCAGCGAGACGGTCCCTGCGGAGCCACTGTATTTCTCCATCCCGCAACCCAAAACTCGCAGCTCCTCGTGCCCTGCTCGGGGTTTTTGTTTTGTTATGGTGGTGTCACTTTCGAAACCCGTGCATCATGCTCAGGTAGGCTCCCTGAGGACAGGAGGTTTTGAATGTTGTCCCTGATGAACTAGAGCAGATCTGACAAATTGTAACATTTGTTGAATGAACAAAGGCATGCCTCAGACACAGCTCAAAGCCATTCTGAACTGGATCTCGGGTCCCAGTTGAGAATTATGCTAAGAATGCCACGCTGGAGCAAAATGACTTGACAGATTGCGATTTCTACTGCATCTCCCCAAATTTCACTGATTTGCCTATTATGTTGATAATTTGGCCATACCTGTATGCCACATAAATTATGTAATGTTTTTCTTTAAATTGACTGTTTTTAATTTTTTAGCCTTGTCCTAGATGATAATATCCATGAAATCATGAATTTGGGATGCTGGTTATAGATTTTCCTATACAATGTTAAATCAAATCTAAACATTTTTTTCTATGTACCACCTAAAACCGGGCCCACCATATAGGAGGTGGTCAATAAATACATGCTTTGGGAGGCAGGAGGATCTCTTGAGCACAGGCGTTTGAGACCAGGCTGAACAACATAGTAAGATTCTGTCTCTGCAAAAGTTTTTTAAATTAGGCAGGGCAAGGTGGCTCACGTCTGTAATCCCAGCACTTTGGGAAGCCGAGGCGGGTAGATCACAAGGTCAGGAGTTCAAGACCAGCCAGGCCAACATAGTGAAATCCCATCTCTACTAAAAATACAAAAATTAGCCAGGTGTGGTGGCGTGCGCCTATAATCCCAGCTGAGGCAGAAGAATCACTTGAACCCAGGAGGCGGAATTTGCAGGGAGCTGAGATCACGCCACTTCACTCCAGCCTGGGCAAAAGAGCAAAACTCTGTCTCAAAAAAAAATTTTTTTTTAATTAGCTGGGTATGGTGGTGCATGCCTGTAATCCCAGCTACTCAGGAGGCTGAGGTGGGAAGATCGATTGAGCCTGGGAGATCAAGGCTCCGGTGAGCTGTGTGCCACTGAACTGTAGCCTGGGCAACAGAGCGAGACCTTGTCTCAGAAAAATAAACATATGCAAATGAATGAAGAAGAGATCCAGATAAAGTTCCAGCAAGAACTCCCTTATGCCTCCTGATCCCAACCATAGTGTAGCCTCCGGCGGGGCCAGCTGGACCAGGAAGGGGAAAGCTATCTTCGGTGGAAGATGCCAGGGCACGGGCTGCCTCGAGAGGACCCCTGGGCATTGGCAGGTGTGTTGCCTGAGTGAGGATGGCAGAAGAAAAGGGCTTCCTTACCCATGTACAGATGGTCCTCGTTGGGGTCATCCAGGACCTTGGCACAGCCGCACAGAACAGGCAGGAAATGGACAGAGGGGGAGAAAAAAAGAGAACAGATATGAGCAGGAAGGAAGCAGCATCCACGTGGCTACGTTTGCCAACAGAAGGGCTGCACTTGGCGGTGAGTTTCCCGGTTAAGATGGAGGGCATAGGAAAAACTCCAGAGTGTGAGATCCTAATGGCTATTTGGAAAAGAAACGCCTCTTAGTCTGATCCTCAGGGATCCGAACACTCAGAAAGGAAGATGCAAAAGGAAGGGAACAAAATACCCCCCCGGAAATGTCTCTTGCTTGAATAAGAATCCAATCCATCTCCTAGGAGACAAGGGTCTTAAGGGTGAAAATTTAAATCCCATCTAGGCTCAAGTAATTTCACGAAGCCCCCCTCCATTGCCCCTGGCCCCACAGGAAATGACGTCTCCCTGCCCGGAATAGCCATAGCACTTTCTCTCTCTCCAAAGGGCAGGCAGCAGGCTATATCCACCTTGGTCCTCAGTGGCATCCCACACAGAGCATGGCATACAGTAGGTGCCCAGGGAACATCTGATGAATGAACAAACAGATGGGCTGGCAAAGAGTCTTGTTGGGTGGAAAGGCCAAATGCCATAGGGCAGCAGAGAGCAAGATACCCTGCCAGGACCCAGGGCCACTCGCTAACCAAACACCCTTGGGCTTCCTCAAAGATGGCCAACTCCAGCACCAGTGAGTCAAGACTGTGACACTTAGTGTGACCAGTAGTGATGGCCTACAACCGCCATCTCTCTTCTTTGGAAAGAAACAAATGCAGACTCCCTGGCTAGACCAGTCCCCTTGATTCTACCCCCATCACGTCCGCCTTCTCTAGCCACCCAAGATCAAGAAGACAGAAGGCCCCGGGAAAGGGAGGTACCGTAGGCAGAGCCCGGGCAAGCAGCCTGAAGCCCTGAGCCGTGCCCTGTGGGAAAGGCACACACAGGGCCTTGTCCATCTAGAGTTCTGCACCAGATGAGTCGCAGGCAAGGTGGTAGCTAGCCCTCACATCTCCCAAAGGCAGCGTGTACTCCCCAAATAGAGGCCTCCAGCCCCTTTGCACATGCAGTTCCCTGCCCTGAGATGCCTTTCCGTGACTTCTCATCCATGGCCACCTCAAACGTCATTTCCTCTAAGAGGCCCCTCCCAGCCTCTCCTAGTGGGCTGGCTGCCCTGTACTCCCAAGGCACTCCGAACATCCAGCACAGTGACAAGTCCTTGTCATCTAGACCAGAGGTGCTCCAAACATGACCTGGAGACTTCCGTGGATCCCTGAGATGCTTTCAGGGAGTTTACAAGATTCACCATTTTCACTTTACAACGAAGACAATATTTGCCGTTTTGACTCTCTTCCACTAGTCTACAGGGTTTTCCAGAAACCTGATATGTTATATCACAACAGGTTGAATGCAAAAGCAGATATGAGAATCTAAATGTCTCTTATTAAGCCAAACATTAACCAAAAAAAGGCAAAAATGAAAAACTAAGCCACTCTACTTTTTATTTTTCATAAAATGTATGACTCATGTTAATATGTAATAAGCTTATTGTTGTCTTTTTGTTTTTTTCTTTTCTTTTTTTTTTTTTTTTTGAGACGGAGTTTCACTCTTGTTACCCAGGCTGGAGTGCAATGGTGCGATCTCGGCTCACCACAACTTCCGCCTCCTGGGTTCAGGCAATTCTCCTGCCTCAGCCTCCTGAGTAGCTGGGATTACAGGCATGTGCCACCATGCCCAGCTAATTTTTTTTTTTTTTTTTTGTATTTTTAGTAGAGACGGGGTTTCACCATGTTGACCAGGATGGTCTCGATCTCTTGACCTCGTGATCCACCCGCCTCGGCCTCCCAAAGTGCTGGGATTACAGGCTTGAGCCACCGCGCCCGGCCTTTTTCTTTTCTTTTTTAGAGACAGGGTCTTACTCTCTCTCCCAGACTGGAGCGCAGTGGCACAATCATGGCTCACGGCAGACTTGAATGCCTGGGCTGAGGTGATTCTCCCATCTCAGCCTTTGGAATAGCTGGGACCACAGGTGCACAGCACCATACCTGGCTAATTTTTTAAATTTTTTGCAGAGATGAGGTTTCTCCATGTTGCTCAGGCTGCTCTCAAACTGCTGGCCTCAAGCAATCCTCCCACCTCAGCCTCCCAAAGTGCTGGGATTATAGGCATAAGCCACCATGCCCAGCCTGTTGTTTTTAAATGAATGAATAGTTTAAATTTAATTTTCTGAGTTTTAAATTCTAACGTGGTAGCTATTAATAAATATAACTCATATAAGCAAAAGTGCTATGGGGGTCTTAAAAAAAATTTTTTTTTTTTTGAGACAGAGTTTCACTCTTGTCACCCAGAATGGAGTGCAATGGCACGATCTCTGCTCACCGCAACCTCCACCTCCCAGGTTCAAGCAATTCTCCTGCCTCAGCCTTCCCAAGTAGCTGGGATTACAGGTACCCGCCACCATGCCCAGCTAATTTTTTTGTATTTTTAGTTGAGATGGGGTTTTTTAGGAGTACAAAGCAATCCTGAGACCTAAAAGTATGAGAGTTGCTGATGTAGGGCAGGGGCTGGCAAACTACAGGCTATGGGCCAAACTCAGCCCTCTGCCTATTTATTTTTTGTTTATTTGTTTCATATTTTTAGTAGAGACAGGGTTTCACCATGTTGGCTGGGATTGTCTCAAACTGCTGATCTCAAATGACCTGTCCGCCTCGGCCTCCCAGAGTGCTGGGATCACAGGTGTGGGCCACTGGGCCCGGCCTTATTTTTGAAAATAAAGTTTTACTGAAACACAGCCATGCCATTTGTTTACATGGTGTGTGTGGCTGCTTTGGCGCTGCGATTACCCATATGTGTAAGCAGAAAGAGAACCAGCTTTAAAGAGACAGAAATGGGTGAAGGGATCACTCTGAGCCTAAATTTCTTTGTCTGTAAAGTGAGAGTAACAAATACCCGACAGAAAAACGAAGCAGGCAAAAGAAAGAAGGGGAAAAAAGAAATGTGAGTAGTAACTAATCTCAGGGAGCAGTAAACACAACTCAGCCCTGCAGCGAGAGGTCTGGTGTGACTGGGCTCTCCCTGGAAACCAGCGGCAGTGTTTGGGGATTGACAAAGCCAGGGCCTCCCTCCCTCCTCGGTGCCTCCACCCTCACCTCCACCAGCTTCACCACATTGGGGTGGTCCAGCTTCTTGAGGATGGCGATTTCCTGGTACACCTGCTCAATGGGGCCCCTGGGCTGGATGCAGCCTCCAGGGGCTGGCCGGGTGCCTCGGGGTGGGGGGCGACCTGGAGGAGACAGAAACAGACCAAGGGTCAGGGCAAAGAGACTTTCTTCTGCAGAGGGCAGCCGCAGGCAGGATAACAAAAGTGGGAGGGTCTCCGCAGGGCTGAAGGGGCTGCTGCACCAGGGGCTTTAACTAGCCTCCTCCTCTGCCTCCTCTGCTGCTGCAAGTGAGTGAGGGTGGAGGCCTCAGCCGTCCTGTGAATTCCCCCCTTCCAGTCACATCCCCAGTCCATGCCCCAGTCCATGGTGAGAGGCAGGAGTGCCGCGGCAACTGCAGCCTAGCGCAGCACCCTCAACACCCCAGCGTGAGTCCGTCGCTGCCCGTCTCTGGGCTCAGTTTTCGTAGTCCATAAAACAGACATCAACGTGATCTCTTATCTCCTTAACTCACAGCACAGATGGCTGGCTGGGCACTGTGGCTCATGCCTATAATCCCAGCACTTTGGCAGGCTAAGGCGGGCAGATTGCTTGAGCCCAGGAGTTCAAGACCAGTCTGGGCAACACAGTGAAACCCTGACTCTACAAAAATTACAAAAAATTAGCCAGGTTTGGGGGCACGTGCCTGTGGTCCCAGCTACTCAAGAGCTGAGGTGGGAGGATCACCTGAGCCCAGGAAGGTCAAGCTTGCAGTGAGCCATGATCATGCCACTGCACTCCACCTGGGTGACAAAGCGAGACTCTACCTCAAAAAAAAAAAAAAAAAAAAAAAAGAAAAGAAATAGCATGGATGTAGAACAAAGCCAGGGAGAAGAAAAGAAGCAAGCATCAGGAGAGAAAAACAACAGATTACGCCAGAAAGGAGAGGCACTCAGGTCACCACCTGACCTTCCAGTAAATAATAAACAAACAGGGCTGGGCGAGGTGGCTCACACCTATAATCCCAGCACTTTGGGAGGCCAAGGTGGCTGGATCATGAGGTCAGGAGTTCGAGACTAGCCTGGCCAACATGGTGAAACCCCATCTCTACTAAAAATACAAATGTTAGCTGGGTGTGGTGGCAGGCACCTGTAACCCCAGCTACTCGGGAGGCTGAGGCAAGAGAATCGCTTGAAACAAGAAGGCAGAGGTTGCAGTGAGCCGAGATCGTGCCACTGCAATTTAGCCTGGGCGAAAGAGCAAAACTTGTCTCCAAAATAATAATAATAATAGGCAAACAGTCACAAGGATGTACAGGCCCACAGTGGAAACCCTGACAATAGCACACATACTGTGTAATAAAGGCTCTAAGTGTAATTAACAGAACAGAACTGGGATGTGATGGGCCCTGGAAAAGGCAAGGCAAAAGTGCAGGTGTCAGAGGGGGATGTGAAAGAAGAGAAGCTGAGCTCAAAGGAAAAGGGAGGATGAGAACAGCCTCCTCTTACAGCGCAGGGAGGTGGGTACACTTGCCATGCAGTGAGGGGAGGTGGCGGGTGTGTGGCCACAGCGGAGCTGGCCAGCCTGCTGCAGAAAGGGAGGCACTATGGTCAGGATGTCTGTGATCCTCCAGAATTCTCGTGTGAAAACCTGATCCCCAGTGTGATGGTATTAGGACATGGGACTTCAGGAGGAGAGGAGGTCGGGAGGGTGGAGCCCTCCTGAATGTTTTAAGAGACCCCAGAGAGCTGCCTCACCCCTCTGCCATGTAAGGATTCGGTAAGAAGGCACTATCCATGTTTGTTTGTTTGTTTGTTTTGAGACAGGGTCTGTCTCCCAGGCTGGAGTTCAGTGGTGCAATCAAGAATCACTCCAGCCTCGAACTTCCAGGCTCAAGTGATCCTACCTCAGCCTACCGAGTAGCTAGGACTACAGGCACACACCACCATGCCCAGCTAACTTCTAAATTGTCGGTAGAGACAGGGTCTCACTACATTGCCCGCGCTGGTCTCCAATTCCTGGGTTCAAGTGATTCACACACCTCAGCCTCCCAAAGGCTGGCATGAGCTACCACACCCTGCCTGAGACGGTGCTAATTACAAACCAGCCTCCAGAAGTGTGAGAAATAAACGCCTGTGGGTTAGGCCACCCAGTCTCCAGTACGTTGTTATAGCACACCGTTTGTTATTTTGTTAAGACAGGAGGTAAGAAGGAGTGTTTAAGCAAGCGAAATCCTCCACAGTCACTGGAAGAAGTCGCAAGCAGATGTCAAAAATGGATAATAGTGACACAAGGATTACTGCCTGGTGCAGTGTTTGGATATGCAGGATAAACGAGGGTCCCACAGTTAGGATGGGGTTTGTGTGTTCTGATCTAATTTCTCTTTTTGGCCCAAGCTGACATTTTGCCCAGCAACGCAGGCAGGGAGCGTGCGTTGAAGCAGCCTCCGATAAAGCTCACCTGCAGGCTTGTCATCTGACCACACATAGGAGTTACCAGCAACCAACAGTGCTAAAAGCCAAGGCTGCCTGTAGGAGAAGGGAGAGAGCAAGAAACTCTCCTCCATTATATGCCCTCCTGTGCTTTGGCTGTTTTTTTTTTTTTTTTTTGGTAGATATTATTCAAATACCTCATGGTATTTAAATTTTTTTAATTCACCCTTTTTTTTTTTTTGAGATGGAGTCTCGCTCTGTCACCCAGGCTGGAATGCAGTGACGGGATCTCAGCTCACTGCAACCTCCACCTCCTGGGTTCAAGTGATTCTTCTGCCTCCGCCACCCAAGTAGCTGGGATTACAGGCGTGCACCACCACCCCCAGCAAATTTTTGCGTTTTTAGTAGAGATGGGGTATCACAATATTGGCCATGTTGGTCTCGAACTCCTGACCTCATGATCTGCCCACTTCAGCCTCCCAAAGTGCTGGGATTACAGGCATGTGCCTGGCTTTTTTTAATCTTTTTTTTTTTTTTTTTTTGAGACAGAGTTTTGCTGTTGTTACCCAGACTGGAGTGCAATGGCACGATCTCGGCTCACCACAACCTCCGCCTCCTGGGTTCAAGCAATTATCCTGCCTCAGCCTCCCAAGTAGCTGGGACTACAGGCGCACACCACCATGCCCAGCTAATTTTTGTATTTTTAGTCGAGACGGGGTTTCACCTTGTTGACCAGGATGGTCTCGATCTCTTGACCTCGTGATTCATCCGCCTCGGCCTCCCAAAGTGCTGGGATTATAGGAGTGAGCCACCGCGCCCGGCCGTCTTTTTTTTTTTTTTTTTTTTGAGAGGGAATCTCACTCTGTTGCCCAGGCTGGAGTGCAGTGGCATGATCCCAGCTCATTGCAACCTCCATCTCCTGGGTTCCAGTGATTCTCCTGCCTCAGCCTCCCGAGTAGCTGGGACTACAGGCGAGTGCTACCACACTCAGCTAATTTTTTTATTTTTAGTAGAGATGATGTTTCACTGTGTGGGCCAGGTTGGTCCTGAACTCCTGATCTCAAGTGATCCACCCGCCTCGGCCTCCCAAAGTGCTGGGATTACAGGTGTGAGCCACTGTGCTTGGCCGACTACTGAATACTTTCAATGCCTCCCTAAATATATACATATATACATCTGGTATCTATTGGCATTTACCCAGAGCCCCTAGCAATCACAAATCTACTTTTGTTCCTATGGATTGGCCTATTTTGGGTATTTCATATAAATAGAATCACATGATATGTGGCCTTTTGTGTTAGGCCTCTTTTTTTTTCTTTTTTTGAGATGGAGTTTTGCTCTTGTTGCCCAGGGTGGAGTACAATGGCACGATCTCGGTTCACTGCAACCTCTGCCTCCCAGGTTCATGCAATTCTCCTGCCTCAGCCTCCTGAGTAGCCGGAATTACAGGCACCCGCTACCACGACTGGCTAATTTTTTTATTTTTAGTAGAGACGTGGTTTCACCATGTTGGCCAGGCTGGTCTCGAACTCCTGACCTCTGGTGATCCGCCTGCCTCGGCCTCCCGAAGTGCTGGGATTTCAGAGTGTGAGCAACTGCACCCGGCCAGGCTTCTTTCACTTAATATAATGTCTTTAAGACTCCGCCGTGTTGGAGCATGAATTGGTACTTCATTACTTTTTGTGGCTGAATAATATTCCATTGGCTGCATATCTACTCTATTCATTTGCTGAGGACACATGAGTTGTTTCCACTTTTCAGTTACTGTGACTAACCCTGCTATGAACATTCACATACAAGCTCCTGTGTGAACAAATATGTCCCGTTCTCTTGGGTCTGTAAGTAGGAGTGAAATTACTGAATCATATGGTAACACCATGTTTAACTTTTTGAGGAATTGCCAGAGTGTTTTCCTCTACTGGATTTTTTTTACTTCATACCTATATAACTTTAATAAATGTTTTTATTTTATTATTTTTTGAGACAGGGTCTTGCTCTGTCACCCAGGCTGAAGTCCAATGGCATGATCTAGGCTCACTGCAAACTCCACCTCCCAGGTTCAAGCAATTCTTGTACCTCAGCCTCCCAAAAAGCTGGGACTACACGCATGTGCCACTACCCTTGGCTAATTTTTGTATCTGTAGTAGAGATGAGGTTTCACCTTGTTGGTCAGGCTAGTCTTGAACTTCTGGCCTCTAGTCTGCCTCCCCAAAGTGCTGGGATTACAGGCATGAGCCACTGTGTCCAGCCATAAATATTTTTAAGAAATAAAGAATAAAGAGGCTGGATGTGGTGGCTCCCCCCCTATAATCCCAGCACTTTGGGAGGCCAAGGCAAGCAGATCACGAGGTCAAGACCATTCAGGCCAACGTGGTGAAACTCTGTCTCTACGAAAAATACAAAATTAGCTGGGTGTGGTGGTACGTGCCTGTAGTCCCAGCTACTCAGGAGGCTGAGGCGGGAGAATAGTTTGAACCCCAGAGATGGAGGTTGCAGTGAGCCAAGATCGTGCCACTGCACTCCAGCCTGGGAGACAGAGTGAGAGACACCGTCTCAAAATAAAAAAAATAAATAAACAACCTCAGCAAGAAGTCAAGCTCTGCCTTTGGTAGGGAGCCCTGAGCAGGATGGGGTGCCCACCCAGGGCACCCTCTGCAACAGTTCCCATCTAGGGGGCTCTGCTCTGTCTTGCCCCAGCACCTGCACCTAAGAACAAAGGCCGGTCAAACTTACGTGGAAAGCCGGCCTGCCGGATCAGCTTCTTTTTGGACAGCACCTTCATTGCCTGCAGGAAAAAAGACCCCAGGTCCTGGTCAAAGCAGGGAGGAGGAGGAGGAGGAAGGTGAGTTGAGGGTTCGTCTACTCAAAGGCTGGCCCAGGCTCCTGGCCCCCTGGCAGGCTCAGGACAACAGAGTAAGCCCCTCATTACCAGAGGGGGTCACGCAGCCATGAGGTGTGGAGGCTAGAACTCCTGGGGTGCCTCCAGCCCTGTGGTGTTCCTGAGGCCCACAGTCAGCTCTTCCAGGTGGAAAACCACCAGCCTTGGGACTTGCTGCTATCGAATCAAAACACAAGGGAGCTGGAGCAATGGGCAAAGGAGGGGCGGGACCGGTTGTTTTACACATGGGGAAACTGAGGCTCAGCTGTTTTACACATGAGAAAATAGGACTTGTCAAGGACACATGGTTGGCACACAGTAGAGTCAGGTTCAAACCTATGCTGGACTGACTCCAAAGCCACCCACGCAGGCATCTTTGTCACTGCTGCCTTGTTCTCAGTACTACGGAGGATACAGAGATGACAGCTCAGAGGAAGGGCATAAATGCCTTCTGTTGAATGAATAACTCCTGGGCTAATCACCTCACCTCCCCATTTTCCCATCTGTAAAATGGGCATACCACTTCCTTCCTAAGGCATGAAATAAACATGATCTAAGAATCAAACAAGACAACAGCTATGAAAACTTCCCAGCAAACTGAGTGCTGGAAAGGAGGCTCTTCTGTGGATAAGGACGGGGCAGGGAGGAGAATGCAGATACTCACATAGTAGGTGTTGTCATTTTCATTGTAGGCCAACTTGACGACGCCATAGGAGCCCTGGATAAAGGGAGATGCCCATGACATACTATCCAGAAGTTAAGATCTGCAAAATGAGAACCCTAATACAGAGGGTGCAAACCGGCAGCCCATTGGTCAAATCTGTCCCACAACTGTACTTTGTTGGAGCCCAGGTTTTCACAAAGTTCAGATTAATTGCCAACATTTAAAAACAGATCTGGGCCACGTGCAGTGGCTCATACCTGTAATCCCAACAATTTGGGAGGCCAAGGCAGGCAAATCCCTTGAGGTCAGGAGTTCAAGACCAGCCTGGCCAACATGGCAAAACCCTGTCTCTACTAAAAATACAAAAATTAGCCAGGCATGGTGGCAGGTACCTCTAATCCCAGCTATTCAGGAGGCTGAGGCATGAGAAGTGCTTGAACCCGGAAGGCAGAGGCCGCAGTGTGCCAAGACTGCGGCACTGTACTCCAGCCTGGGCGACATAGCAAGGCTCAGTCTCAAAAAAAAAGAAAGAAAGATCTGATATAAAAATCCATACTCCTTCCAGGCACAGTGGCTTACACCTGTAATCCCAGCACCTTGAGAGACCAAGGCGGGCAGATCACTTGAGGTCAGGTTTGAGAACAGCCTGGGCAACATAGTAAAACCCCGTCTCTACAAAACATACAAAAATTAGCCAGGTGTGGTGGTACACACCTCTGTAGTCCCAACTATTTGGGAGGCTGAGGCAGGAAAACTGCTTGAGCCCAGGAGGCAGAGGTTGCAGGAAGCTGAGAATGCACCATTGCACTCCAGCCTTGGTGACAAGAGTGAAACCCTGTCTCAAAAAAAAAAAAAAAAATCCAGATACCTAGTTTCTTTCAAAAAAAATTAGAAGCTCTAGCTGTATGTAGCCCTCATTTCCATACGTTAATGGTTTACCATATATGTAACCCTCATTTCCATATGTTAATGGTTGCCATATATGTAACCCTCATTTCCATATGTTAATGGTTTGCCATATATATAACCCTCATTTCCATATGTTAATGGTTTGCCATATATGTAGCCCTCATTTCCATATGCTAATGGTTTGCCAAGTCCCTACTACCTTACTACCACTCCCTACTGCCTTACACCTGGCATGCCTCTCTCCTTTCTGTTACTTACTTGTTTTCTATTGGCATTCGGATTTTTGACCATGGTAATGATACCCCCCCTTGGCTAAAACAAAAGCAAACCTAGATGTCAGAGTACTTTGGGGTGAAACAAAACCCCAAATGTGATGGGAATATAACTATCACCAAAGTAATACGAAATGTCTCTGGAAGCTTTCTGAGCTTCTGCAGAAACATATTTAATTTGACAAAACCCCCTCCACCAATCTTGCCTCTGAAGACGCCTCTGCTGCTCAAAGCTTTGCCCTGTCCCCTCCATAGTACCTCAATGCCCCTAATGAATGCAGAAAACCACCTGGCTCCGGGGATATTTACCTTTCCAATTTCATCCTTCAGGGTATACTGATTCAGCTGCACACAGTCCTAGAGAGTAAGCAGAGACACATGGAAAATGAATTTTAAGTTTGCAACTAGAGGCCAGGCACAGTGACTCATGTCTATAATCCCAGCACTTTGGGAGGCCAAGGTGGGAGGATCACTTGAGTTCATGAGTTCCAGACCAGCCTGGCCAACATGGTAAAATCCCATCTCTTCTAATAATATACAAATTAGGCCGGGCACAGTGGTTCATGCCTGTAATCACAGTACTTTGGGAGGCCGAGGCGATGGATCATCTGAGGTCAGGAATTCAAAACCAGCCTGGCCAACATGGTGAAACCCCATCTCTACTAAAAATACAAAAATTAGCTGGGTGTGGTGGTATATGTCTGTAATCCCAGCTACTGAGGAGACTGAGGCAAGAGAATTGCTTGAACCCAGGAGACAGAGGTCGCAGTGAGCCAAAATTGCATCATTGTACCAGCCAAGGCAACAAGAGCAAGACTCCGTCTTAAAAAAAAAAAAAAAAGTCAGGCGTGGTGGTAGGCCACCTGTAATCCCAGCTACTCAGGAAGCTGAGGCACAAAAATCGCTTGAACCCAGAGGTGGAGGTTGCAGTGAGCCGAGATTGCACCATTGCACTCCAGCCTGGGCAACAGAGTAAAACTGTGTCTCAAAAAAAAAAAACCAAGTTTGCAGCTAGTTACATTTCTCCAAATTATACATACACGGGTAACCAGAACCCAAATCAAGAAAGAGAATATCCCCAGCTCCCCAGAAACCACTCCCACCCACTGCCCCTCCCCGGGGCAACCACTATCCTGACTTCTAACAGAGCAGATTTTGCTTCTTGTACTTGGTCAAAATGTAACCACATACTGTGTATTCTTGTAAAACCCATTTTTTAGAAGGTTGTTCCTACTTTTAAAAAGTAAATTTTAAATCAAACAAGTCATCCTTGGCTACATTGTCCTGTAAAAACATGACGTGAAAAAAGAGAAAATCTGTGCCCTTAGGACAGACAAGTTTCTCAGATAATACACAAAGTACAGACAACAGGAAACAAATGATAAATTGGACTTTGCCAAAATTAAAACTTTGGCTCTTTTTTTTTTTGAGACAGAGTTTCACTTTTGTCGCCCAGGCTGGAGTGCAATGGCGGGATCTCGGCTCCCTGTAACCTCCACCTCCTTGGTTCAAGTGATTCTCCTGCCTCAGCCTCCCAAGTAGCTGGGATTACAGGCATGTGCCACCATGCCTGGCTAATTTTTGTATTTTTTTTAGTATAGATGGGGTTTCACTGTGTTGGCCAGGCTAGTCTTGAACTCCTGACCTCAGGTGATTCGCCCACCTCAGCCTCCCAAAGTGCTGGGATTATAGGTATGAGCCACCATGCCCAGCCAAAACTTTGGCTCTTTGATACACTATGAAGAAAATGAAAACGGCCAAGTACAGTGGCTCATGCCCGTAAACTCAACACTTTAGGAGCTCAAAGCAGGAGGACTGCCTGAGCCCAGGAGTTTGAGGTAGCAGTGAGCTATAATCACACCACTGCATTCCAGCCTTCGCGACAAAGTGAGACTCTGTCAAAAAAAAAAAAGAGAAAAAAAAAAGGGAAGAGAAGGAAAGGGAAGGAGAGAGGAGGGGTGGGGAGGGTAGGGGAAGGGAGGGGAGGGCAGGGGAGGGTGGGGGAAAGGGAAAGAGAAAAAGAAAGAGAAAGGGAAGGGAAGGAGGGGAAAGAGAATGGGAAGGGAAGGGAGAAAGAAAAAGAGAAAGGAAAGCAAGGGAGTAAACAAAAAGGCAAGCCTCAAACTTTAGACTCGAAGCACAGATATTAGACAAAGGACCCTTACAACTCAATAAGATGACCAACAACCTAATTTAAAAATGGGCAGAAGATTTGAACAGAAATACCTCCAAAGAAAACATACAAGTGGACATAAGCACAGGAAAAGACACTCACCATCACTAGTCATCAGGTAAACGTAAATTAAAACCATATCCACTAGGCTGGCAAAACTCAAGAGGACTAATCACGCTGGGTGAGGTGGCTCACACCTGTAATCCCAGTACTTTGGGAGGCCAAGGCAGGTGGACTGCTTGAGCCCAGGAGTTCAAGACCAGCCTGTGAAATACGGTGAAACTCTGTCTCTACAAAAAAAAATACAAAAATTAGCCGGGCATGGTGGCACACGCCTGTAATCCCAGCTACTTGGGAGGCTGAGGCAGGAGAATCACTTGTACTGAGGAGGTGGAGGTTACAGGGAGCCGAGATCACACCATTGCACTCCAGCCTGGGCGACAAAAGTGAAACTCTGTCTCAAAAAAAAAATACAAAAATTAGCTGGGCATGGTGGCGTGCACCTTTAGTCCCAGCTAATCAGGAGGCTGAGGTGGGAGTATTGAGTGAGCATGGGAAATTGAGGCTACAGTGAGCAGTGATTACATCACACTGCATTCCAGCCTGGGTGACAGAATGAGATCCTGTCTCAAAAAAAATTAAAAAGGAGATTGATCAGACCAAGTAGTGGAAGAATGCAGAGAAAATGAAATTTTTATACCCTGCTGGTAGGAATGTAAAAGGGTGCCCTCTCTTTGAAAACAGTTTGTCAGTTTCTTTTTTCTTTTTTTTTTTTTAAGGCGCTGAGGCAGGGTATCATTCTGTTCCCAGGCTAAAGTAGAATGGCAAGATCACAGCTCACTGTAACCTCGAATGTGGGTTCAAAAGATCCTGCCACCTCAGCCTCTCAAGTAGCTGGGACTACAGGAACATGCCACCACGCCCAGCTAATTTTTATATTTTTAGCAGAGTCAGGGTTTCACCGTGTTGGCCAGGCTGGTCTCCAACTCCTGGCCTCAAGTGATCTGCCCACCTCGGCCTCCCGAAGTGCTGGGATTACAGGCGTGAGCAACCACCCCTAGCCTGTTTTCTTTTTTGGAGAGATGGGTCTTGCTATGTTGCCCAGGCTGGTCTCAAACTCCTGGTCTTAAGCGGTCCTTCTGCCTCAGTCTCCCAAGTAGCTGGGATGACAGGCACAAGCCATTGCACTGGGCCTTGGCAGTTTCTTAACAAACACCTACCATACCACAGGCCATTCTACCCAGTAGAAGTGAAAATCTGTTTAGGAAGACTTGTGCAGAAACATCAATGACAGCTTCAGTTGTAATAATACAAAATTGGAAGCAATTCAAACGCCCTTCAACAGGCGAACGGATAAACAGTGGTACATCCATACAATGGAATTTATTCGGTAATAAGAAGAAACTACGGATATACCCCACCACGTGGATAAATCTCAAAATCATGACGCTGTGAAAGAAGCTAAGGTAAAAAGGAGGTGTCGCTCCTGGGTCTTAGCTCTGTCTTTGGCTCATGCTGTGAATTCTCCCTGCTCTGAACTCTCCAGGGCCCCATCTCCAATCATGAAAGTTTTTCCTAGCCTTCAAAATGTAGCCCCCATAGCCCCTTTAAAATCAGTCCCTTTGGCTGGGCACAGTGGCTCACATCTGCAATCCCAGCACTTAGGGAGGCCGAGGCGGGTGGATCACTTAAGGTCAGGAGTTCAAGACCAGCCTGGCCAACATGGTGAAACCCCATCGCTAGCAAAAAAAAAAAATTAGCTGGGTGGGATGGCACATGCCTGTAGTCCCAGCTACTAGGGAGGCTGAGGCAGGAGAATCACTTGAATCCGGAAGACGGAGGTTGCAGTGAGCCAAGATCAAGCCACTGCACTCCAGCCTGGGTGACAGAGCGAGACTGAGTCTAAAAAAAAAAAAAAATCAGCCCCTTTAGAAAGGCATCCTGATGTTGAGTCTTCTTCCAATTAAATTCATTAATTCCTTCAACAAATATTTTTGTGCTCCTGCTACATGCCAGGCACTGCTAGGCGCTGGGGATGGGAGTGGGGTTGGGGGTTCCTATGGAGATTACGTTCTGAAGACAGGCAATAAACAACGAAACCAACACACAGATCATCAGATGCTGATGAATGTCATGAAGGAAAGCAAATAGGGCTACGGGGTAGAGAGAGGCTGGCGGGTGCTTTAGGGAGGGTGGCCCAGGAAGCCTTTTGGAGGAGGTGATACTGGAGATGACATTTGGACATTAGACGGAACAAACCTTACAAAGCTGGCGTGGGGTGGGCGGGGAGGTGGTTCTAAGCAGAAGGAGCAGAGCAAAGACCCCAGGCAGGCAAGAGCTTGGATTCCAAGGAATGCGAAGAAAGCAGGAACAGAGGGAGCTTAGGGAGCAGGCAACAGAATGGCAGGAGGGGTGGGGAAGGGCCAGACCACACAGCGCCCTGTGAATCCCCAGTGGGGATCTGAGTTCTAATCTGCCCCCACAAGAGCTCACAGTAGGGAGTCCTGTGGGAAACGGTCACAAAGTACTGAACCCAGTGCCTGGCACCAACACACGCTCAGCCAGGCGGGTGGTCGTCAGGCTCTCAATGACCGCTTCACTCCCTCACACCTTCCGCTCACCCACACCTCAGTCTCTTTGCTGGAGGCTCCCTCTGGCCCTGCTACTGCCCTGTCCACACCCTCAGCGGGTCACACACACCTGCCCCAGCAGCCCTCACCCATGAGTGTAAACACCCCAGCTCCCTCGCCCCTGGTGGGATGACTCTGAGGCTGCTGTTCTGTGCCGTTCCCCAGGGTCCCCCCAAAGGAACAAGCCCCAGTGGCCCACACTCCACACCGGTAACCAGCTCCATAACCCATGCTTTGCTGATTGCCTTCCCTTCCCCATGCTGATTCACAACCCCACTAGGGACCCCTTTTGGCCCTAGCCGCCCCCCAGGTTCTCTGGAGTCAACTCCCACTCCCAGGTCAAGTGTTGCACTCAAATCCTTCTGGGGGACCTCAACCTTCCACAGAGACCCTGCTGGGGGCAGGGAAGGGGACCAGGGATCCCCAGGACCCAGCTTACCACCGACTCACGCACCTGCATACCCGTGATGGAGACATGGTGAGACTCCACTGTGGGCCGCCGGGGCAGCCGAGGCGAGGACTGCGGGGAGCTGACAGGCGAGTAGGGCAAGGATGGGCAGATGCAGCGTCCGTTCATGTTGAGGCTGCCGCCGGCTGCCAGCCCAGGCTGGGACCGCTCTTGCAGAGACAGCTTGCGACCAGAGAGGTGGGGCCGGGCCTGGGACCCGGAGGTGTCAAGGGGGGCCTCTTGGCCATCGGCCTCCAGAGGCCGGTCCCGGGCCAGGCCAAGATCCACAGCACAGCCCGGCTCACACTCGGTAACCACGATGAAGGACTCCATGCCCAGGTGGATGCTCAAGGATGAGAGGCCCCGCAGGGCCGCACAGGGCTGCTGGCTTTCGCTGCTGCTGCTGCCCCTGCCCCCCAGATCATCCTGGGGGGCGGCCCGGTTGCTGCTGGGCTGGTTAGAGACACATGATGACATGGTGCATGCGCCAGCTTCATCCAGCACACTGGGGCACTCCCATCCGGCAGCGGAGCCGCCTGTGGAGAAAGGAAGGGTCAGCCAGCCTGGCTTCTGCGGGCAGGGACAGGGAAGGAGCACCTCCCCTCCTGGCCCAGGCTGCTGTCTAATTCCTGCCTCCAGTTGACATCCTAAAAAAATCTTGCAAAATATGGTGTGCGCCGGGTACGGTGGCTCACACCTGTAATCCCAGCACTTTGGGATGCCAAGGCGGGTGGATCACGAGGTCAAGAGATTGAGACCATCCTGGTCAACATGGTGAAACCCCATCTCTACTAAAATACAAAAAATTCACTGGACCTGGTGACGGGCACCTGTAATCCCAGCTACTCAGGAGGCTGAGGCAGGGGAATCACTTGAACCCAGGAGGCAAAAGTTGCAGTGAGCCGAGATCACATCATTGCACTCCACCCTGGCAACAGAGCAAGACCCCTTTTCAAAAATATATATATACTGTAATCTGACCTCAGTCTATACAGAAAAGCACAGTCTGCATGTTTCCCCCTCCCTTTTTTTTTTTTTTTTTTTTTTTTGAGACAAGGTCTCTCTCTTTCTCTCTGTTGCCCAGGTAGGAGTACAGTGGCGCAATCAGAGCTCGCTACACCCTTGAACTCCTAGGCTCAATCAACCCTCCCATCTCAGCCTCCCAAGTAGCTGGGACTACAGGCATGCACCACCACACCCAGCTTGCATCTTCTCATTTTAAAAGCCCCTTCTCATACACCATGACAGCAATTCCTAACTCAATTCTTACAGGAACAAGTATAAGAAAACCCGCAAATAGAGCACATATGTCCCCTACAGAATTGACAGCTGCTTCCAGCTCAAGCCAGCTGTTGCTCAGCAGGAATCTGGGCCTATACTGCCCTTTGCTTTTTCCCAAGAGACACCCTAAGGAAGTGACCTTTTCACATTAGCAATTAGTTCAAGTATTTTTAAATGCTGGGCACTAAAAATGAAGGTCAGGGCCAGGCGTGGTGGCTCACACCTATAATCCCAGCACTTTGGGAGGCCAAGGCATGCAGATCAGTTCAGGACAGGAATTCCAGATCAGTCTTGCCAACATGGTGAAACCTTGCCTCTACTAAAAATACAAAAATTAGCCAGGCATGGTGGCACACGCCTGTAATCCCAGCTACTCAGGAGGCTGAGGCACGAGAATCGCTGGAACCAGGAGGTGGAGGTTGCATGAGCCAAGATCATGCACTGCACTGCAGCCTGCACAACAGGGCAAAGCTGTCTCAAAAAAAAAAAAAAAAAAGGTTGGGGAGGAATCAAGTATATGCCACAATATGGATGAAGCTCTAGAGTATCATGCTAAGTGAAGGAAGCCAGTCACGAAAGGTCATATATGTATGCTTCTATTTATATGAAATTTCTAGAACACGCGACTCGAGACAGAAAGTGGACTAGTGGTTGCCTAGGACTACGGGGATGGTGACGTTAGCAGGTGTCGGGAATGACTGCTAAGGGGTATGGGGTTTCCTTTTGGGGCGATTAAAATGTTTTGAAACTAGAGAGAGGTAATGGTTGCACAACATTGCAAATGTACTAAATGCTACTAAACTATATGCTTTAAAGTGGTCAATTTTATGTTATATGAATTTTTATCTCAATTTTTAAAAAACAAAGGCCGGGTGCAATGGCTCACACCTGTAATCTCAGCACTTTGGGAGGCCGAGGTGGGTGGATCACAAGGTCAGGAGTTTGAGACCAGCCTGATCAACATGGTAAAACTCCATCTCTACTAAAAATACAAAAATTAGCCGGGCATGGTGGCGCACACCTGTAATCCTAGCTACTCAGGAGGCTGAGGGAGGAGAATCGCTTGAACCCAGGAGGCGGAGGGTGAAGTGAGGTGAGATCACACCACTGCACTCCAACCTGGGCAAAAACATGAGACTCCATCTCAAAAAAAGAAAAGAAAAGAAAAAAAGGCCGGGTGCAGGGGCTCACTCCTGTAATCTCAGAACCTTGGGAGGCCGAGGAGGGTGGATCACCTGAGATCACGAGTTCAAGACCAGCCTGGCCAACATGGTGAAACCCTATCTCTACTGAAAACACAAAAATTAGCCAGGCATGGTGGCAGGCACCTGTAATCCCAGCTACTCAGGAGGCTGAGACAGGAGAATCACTTGAACCCGGAAAGCGGAGGTTGCAATGAGTGAGCCGAGATCACGCCACTGCACTCCAGCCTGGGCGACAGAACAAGACTCATCCCCTACAAAAAAAAAAAATTAACACATCCCTTTAGGCTGTCAAATCTTACCATCTCTGGGACAGAACATTAACCTTTGGTTCACATGTTTGACAAATTCTGCTGGACAAATGTCACAGGTACCGTTGGAATTCAGGGAGTACATCCCTGGACAGACACCTGTGGATGATGGCCACTCCATGCCAATCACCCATACCACAAAGGGTTTCTCTGGAGGTCCCAGGAAAACAGTAGGGACTCAGTAGAGAGTTTATGAATGAATAAAATGGTATCTCTGATGACACTGGGTGGTAGTGGGTGGGGAACAGAGAGGAAGGTACAGACAGCGATAAGACAGAGCTCCCTGCAGGATCTGGCTGAGAGGCAGAAAATGTCCCTCAGCCCTCTCGGACAGAGAAGAATTGATGGAACAGCTACTATGCCAAGCAGGTAGCAGGGAAAGTCCAACGGGAAAGGTGAAAGGGAAAAACACAACATTCCAGCGCTGACACGGGCCTGATTCATGCACAGAGAGTGTGGTAAAAGAATACCAAAGAATCCAATCATGTGGCAAGATGCTCAACTGCATAGTGAGAGGACTGCAAATTCAAACTACAGTGAGGCGGCCTGGTGGTTCCCCAAAAACTTAAACATGGAGCCACCATATGACCAGCAATTCCTCTCCCAGGTATAGACCCAAAAGAATTGAAAGCAGGGACTCAAACAGATACTTGTACACCAGTGTTCACAGCGACATCATTCACAGATAGACAAAAGGTGGAAATAACCAAGTGTCCATCAACAATGAATAAAAGAAATGTGGCAGAGCCACACAACAGAATACTATACAGCCACAAAAGGAAGGAAACTGACCCACACTACAACACAAACAAACCGTGAAGACATACGCTAAGTGAAACAAGCCAGATACTAAAAAACAAGTATGGTAAGATTTCAGTTACATAAAGAATCTAGAATAGTCCAATTCAGGCCAGGTGCAGTGGTTCACACCTGTAATCCCCACACCTTGGGAGGCCAAGGCGGATGGATCACTCGAGGTCAGGAGTTCCAGACTAGCCTGGCGAACATGGTGAAACCCCATCTCTACTAAAAATACAAAACTTAGCTGGGCGTGGTGGTGGGCACCTGTAATCCCAGCTACTCAGGAGGCTGATGTAGGCGAATCACTGGAACCCGGGAGGCAGAGGTTGCAGTGAGGCAAGATCATGCCACTGTACTCCAGTCTAGGGGACAGAGGGAGACTCCATCTCAGAGAGAGAGAGAGAGAGAGAGAGAGAGAGAGAGAGAGAGAGAGAGAGATTGTATGTGTGTGTGTGTGTGTGTGTGTGTCTTAATAGAGACGGGGTTTCTCCATGTTGGTCAGGCTAGTCTCAAACTCCCGACCTCAGGTGATCCACCCGCCTTGGCCTCCCAAAGTGCTGAGATTACAGGTGTGAGCCACCACGTCCGGGCAGAAAAAAAAGAAATGTTAAAGGAAAGAAAATACCTGTAGCCATGATAGGAGTTATGATGAGGCCTCAGATGCCATGGGATCAGATGGGCAGGAGGTCTCATCTCCTACTCCTCCATCCCCCACCCGCCTTACTGCATCTGAGAAAGAAATCATCAACTCTGTCCCTGGTTCAGCTTCCTGTCAATGAGAGAATACAACTCAAGTTCAATATTTCTCTGTGTCCCTAGCTGCTGCTGCTTTACGCATCCTTTTAATGATCCTTATCTCCCAGAAGAGGAATCTCAGATCCCCTGAAGTTCAGCTGAAAGGAATCCTGTAAAGTCAGTGCCCATCTGATAGTCAAAGGATTAGATGAACCAAGCACTCAGAACCACACCCGGCACGTGGTTAAGTGCTCAGAAACTGTTACTTCAACAATTACCCCTTGGATGCTGATATGGTTTGACTCTGTGTCCCCACCCAAATCTCATCTTGACTTGCTCTCCCATAATTCCCATGTGTTGTAGGAGGGACCCAGTGGGAGATCACTTAAACATGGGGGCGGTTTCTCCCACACTGTTCTCGTGGTAGTAAGTCTCAACAGATCTGATGGCTTTTAGCAGGGGTTTCTGCTTTGGCATCTTCCCCATTCTGTCTGCCTGCTGCCTTCCATGTAAGACGAGACTTGCTCCTCCTTGCCTTCTGCCGTGATTGTGAGGCTTCCCCAGCTATGTGGAACTATAAGTCCAATTAAACCTCTTTCTGTTGTAAATTGCCCAATCTCGGGCATGTCTTTATCAGCAGCACAAAAACAGACTAATGCAGTTGCCCATGGCCTGCTATGGTAGGTAGCCTATGCTCTGGAATGTTCCCACAAGGACTGACGTCCAGGCGAGCTAGCCTGCTCCTGGGTGTGTCCCTCAGCCCTGGCCGTGTGGCCTGCATCCCAAGGGCAGGCAGTCTCTCCCCCATCCTAGAGCTGCCTCTGATAGGGCTACAAGGGTTCCTGAGATGAAAATGAGGACTGGCAGTGCCTGGGAAAGTCAATGAAGGATTTCTTTTTCCACCAATAGAAATACAATTGCTTATCAATCCCTACTCCAGGCCAAGGGCGCTGAGCCATCCGCCCCCCGCAAGGCTGCTTTTAATCAGCCTCCTTGGCAAGCTGGCATCTGGACAGGGCCTCCCTCACAGCCCTGATGGAGTCTCAGCCTTTTTGGTCTGGAGGAGGACGGAGAGGAAAGATGCCTCAGACCCAAGGCAATGGCCTCAGCGCTGGCGGGGCAGGCATGAAACCCCAAAGCTCAGCAGAGAGGAGCCCAGGGCATGCAGGCCTCAGTGCCACAGGATCTGACAGGACAAGGTGCATC